CTCTAACACCCCTGTAACTCTTTCCTTTGGTTCCTAAATCTAGGAAACATTAAAAGCTATATTACCAACAATTGATTATTTCCTTAAAAATGTCTTCAATAACAAACACATAGCCTATATATATATATCTATCTCCAAAATAACACAAAATTGGAGGATAAAATTGGGATTCTTTAGCAGTAACAAAAAGAACAATAATTGCAACTTGATTTTCATAATGGAATGCATGACACACAAGGAATTATTCTCATTTATTGTCCAGATATGACATGTGTGGAATTTGTGAAAATCCTTCCTTAAAAAACAAGTATTTTTTATGTATGTGTTTGAATTGGTTACTTCGGAGTTTTTTTTTTTTATACAAGAACTGGGGTACAGGCAAGATGCGAGGAGGGTGAGAGGATTCACCAGAGACAGAGCCAGGAACAGAACAGGCAGACTGACTGAAATACACTGCTGAGGGGAGCAGCGGGCAAGACAGGAGAGGTCTGCTCGCCATGTGAGCTGCTCCGAGGCCGGCGGGGATTGAACCGGCACTGCAGAGGCTGTGGACAGCTTCACGGTGCTGCGCTCAACCATCTGAGCCACCAGGGAGGCCCCAGACTTTTTTTTGATGCCTGACTAAAACTAATGTGTTGGAGATCCCTAAGGCATAGAGTGCTGAAGCAAGGAAATTCTCAAGGTCATGACTGGAAGACAAGCCCACATGGGCTGGAAGACTAGCCCTTGTTTAGACGTGATGTCCTTCCTTGTATCAGCAAGGAAGTTTAAAGGAGAAACAGGTGTGGGAACAAAACAACCTGGTAACACAAAACCTTGGTGGTGAATGTGTGCCAGAGTAATGCTGAATACCAAGGGAATAAATTATTGTCATGTAACTAACCTAAAGGGGAGGGGGCGGCTTGTCTCAATAAAATTGTATTTAGAGTTTAAGTCCTCCTAGAACTCAGACATTTTTGGACATGTAGGAAAACAATGAATAAATCACATATAGCAAGAACTTAATGGGGTTAGGCTTTGTTTTAAGGATCTTTAGTCACTCTAATATGTACTCCTCAGAGCAGAATTATGAGGAGACCACAGTTATAGTCATGTGACAGGTGATAGAACAGAAGCATAGGTTTTCAGGAAAAATAAATGTGATTTAGTGCATGCTTATGTGGCCAGAAATGCTTTTCTTACTTTTTTGTTGGGGAGAAAATCAGGGTGAGGCCTAAGTTGCCGGGTTGTGAAAGAATTCACTAGAGACAGAGTGGAGAAGAGAAAAGGTTTTTGTAGGCCTTGTAACTTGGGGCGCCAGTTTGCACCAGTTATCTGCTGAGATGCCTGGTGTCCTGCACTGGACTTGGTCACAGAAACATGTCCTGGTGTCTGCTTTCTGTGTTCCTGGAGGTGGGCTGGTTTTTCTGGTCATGGTTGTTGGTTTTATGGTCTTGTCCCCTAGGCAGGCTTATCCATTCCCTTAGCTGTTCAAGTCTCTCTACCTGCCTGCTGGGCCAAGGGTGTGGGTGCAGTTTTTAACTTTACTAAATTATACCCTGATGCTCTTCAAGTGTTTTTCAACCAATTTTCAGATAACTCTGTAAATTATATTTATAAGATACCATTTTCCTCATATTTTATAAGAAAGGAATGTGAGCCAGAAAAGTCATGGGTTAATAGGGAGCAGTTAGAGTTACATTCAGATGATCTGGTTTCATTGTTTATGTCCTAAATTTTTTAAAATTATTTTTTAAATTTATTTTCTTATATCATTCATTTTTGGACAGTATTTCATTTCTCCCTTCAGGTACAGTTCCCACAGATCTCCCACCACCATAGCACCTGTGGGCCATCACTATGGTCTCTATGCTCTTCCCTCCCCCCCAGCTGTGACCCTTCTGTCTCTCCCCCACTGTGTTCCTCTGGTCTATGTCCAGAATTCATACCACATTGATTACTCCCTATTCGTGTGGTGATCCAGGTCCCTGGTGAGAGCACCTGTATGACTGTACCAGCACACAAGGCAACTTCATAAGTATTTTTAGTGCAGAGGGAAATGATGGGAAATGAAGAAACTGCTATTTTTTTTTCTCATCTTCCAGTTTTTTTCTTTTACAAATGCATTTTTCTCACAAAATATTTCGACAAAATCATTTCTTCTTTTTCAGTGAGTCTACATCCTCCCCTCTGAACACCATGAGAAGAGCTTGGTGGTAGATAATAAATGAATATTTGATTGTATGATTCATCTTTTTTTTTTAAAGATTTTATTTATGCATACAAGAACTGGGGAACAGACCAGACATGTAGAGGGATGAGAGGAGACACAGTGGGGAACAGAACGGGCATATTGACTAAAATATACTGTTGAGGGGAGCAGCGGGCAAGTCAGGAGAGGTCTGCTGCACCATGTGGCCGCCAGGGGATCGAACTGTTGCTGCAGAGGCTGTGGTTAGCGTCATAGTGCTGTGCTTAACCACTAGCACCACCAGGGAGGCCTTATGTGATTTATCTTGTCAGTATCATGTGAGTGGGAAAGTGACAGCCTGAGTCCTGAGCCCAGACAGGCGTAGCACATTTTTGCTTGTCCTTCAGACAGCTGCTACTCTCTGCTGTGAGAAGATCATGTATTTGGTAGCTCAGTGGTCAGAGAGCAAAATACATTTCAACAAACAAAATCTGGGCTGACTGTGGTCTGAAATCAAGCCCATACCTGCCAGCTTGTATCAACTGAAACAGTCAAACTACAAATGGGTGAATGAGACGTAAACACTTATTTTTAAATGTCAGTGACATCTTGGACTGTTTACTATACAAGTTTAGCAATTAGCTATAACCATAATTTATAAATTATATAATGTTAATCATGATTAATCTTATATTGCCTATATACTTTTAAAGGGAATGTAAATATAGAGAATGTACAGAATATGCTTATATTCAAAGAAATAAATGTATATAAAATATATATTTTGCAAATAGTAATCAGCTCGGTCATCTCTTCTGTTTGTAAAAGAATTATGGCATAAATATTTCTGAATCATTGTCAAATTATTAAATTTCTCCTGAATTTTCTCAATAAACAGCTGTATGGCCATATAAAGTCCTTAGATTTTTAATTCTATTTTTGTTATTTAATATTTTATGATTCCCACAAGTGTTTTTCTAAGCATGGTAATGAAAAGTGATAGACAGGGGTGAGAGAGAACTTAATAAAACAAAGTAGCTTTAAAAATTCCAACAGAGGAACATAAAGACAAGTAAAAAATCTAGAAGATACTGATTATTCAGTGTCATTGAAGACTGTTTTTACAGTTGTTCTAAATTCTCTTCAGGATAGTCCCATTTGATTCATATTGATAGATTCTCTCCTGATAATTTTTCAAAATACTGACAGGTGGTTTCACATATTTCTTTCATGAATTTTGTCTGCTTATTGCACCCCAAATTTTCTTTCTCCCTCTCTACATCTTTTTCTTTATGGACATCTACTCTCAGCCTTTACCAGCATGGTAGATTTGGCACCTTGGCCTACTCAACACCTATTCAAAATAATTCAACTCTTTAAATGATGTGATTATTACCCATGAAATTGTCTATTACAACCTAATATGAATCTAATAAAGATAATGTTTCACAAGGTCAGATTCAGAAGATATATTTTGATTCCATTTGTTACAGGACAGGGTGAGGGGTAACCTGGGAACCCCCAAACCTGCCTGCTTTAAATAGGTTCTGCCATCCACTGAATAAAGATAATAATATACTCTACAGCATAAGACATTCAATACAAAAGAACTTTAATACAATTAGTATGCAATAAATAATACAGTTTTCAAATCAGGCACCCAAAGTTACCCATCCCCTCATGGATAAATGCCCAGCCAAACAGGGTTGGCACAAAGTAGGGCTGCTGAGACCCAAAAGCCTGCCACAATTCTAAGAAACCATCTGGCGGGGACCCATAGGAAAGGGGTAGAAAGGGCCGTACAAGTCTGGAGGGAATAGAACAAAGTCTAGGCACTCCCTGGTGATGCAGGGGTTAAAGACAGTGGTATTGCCAGTCAGTGCAGCACAAGTAAGATCTCTGGCCAGCCAGGGAACCACCCACATGGTACAACAGACCTCTCCTGTCTCACCTGCTGCTCCTCTCAGCAGTGTACTTTGGTCAATCTGCCTGTTCTGGCCCCAACTCTCTCTGGTGAATCCTCTCATCCTCCAAACCTCTGGCTTACACACCAGTTCTTGTATGCATAAATAAATAAATATTTTTTTAAAGAAAAGAACAAAGCCAAAATCAAAATAAAGGCTGCCATTGTTAACTCCCCATGGTCTCTCACCCACATCTGTACAAGTATACACATCTTTCTACCCGCCCAAGTCCCTGCTACAAGTCCAAGGCCATGCTTTTTTCACATGTCTCTCTGCTCTATGTGCCTCCTCAAACTTCATGCTCTCTCCCCCCATTCTCCCAGTCTTCTGTTCGGCTTCTCCTCCCTGCCCAGCTCTTCCCTTCTTAGGGTGGGGCAAGGAACCCGGAACCTCCCCTTTCCTTGGGTATTACCCTGTTACACATTCTCCAAGGGAGGGAGCAGACCCAGAGGTTTCTTACAGAGACACTTTGTGCTTGTGTCATGGTGACCTGAGTACCAATGAATAAATTATTACTCTCAGCTCCAAATCTGTACTTCATTGTCCGGCTCTGAGATAATGGAGCTAGATCCTGTAAACTTTTCTCCCTTGTTGCACACATGATGTTAAGTTTTGCTGGAACAGACACTGGGGAAACATTGCAGAGCAGGGGCTCTTCTTCCTGGCTTCATGAGGTTTGCTTCACTGACTGAGATGCAGCTGTCAGGGGCCATGCTGTGGTGCTCACCTCCTGCCAGCTTTCGTGGTCAGTCTGTCACAGTTTGTTGCCCTCCAGCCTCTGCCTCTGGATACTGTGGCAAGGAGTGTTCCTGTTCCACAGACCAGCCTGAGATCTGTCCTCACCAAATAGTTAATCATTCTTTACATCAAACTTTCCCTGATTCGTGTCTTCTGACTTGTTTATGACTTAAACATTTTGCTACCGTAGGTTGTCGAATCTTCATCATCAACAATGTCAAGGGCTAGAACAAATCAAGTAATGAGAAAATGGGAGTGTGAAATTATTCACCATTGAGCACTTGGAATAAACTTCTTGACATAAGGATTTATAATTTATACATGGTTTATTTTAAGAAACAACAGAAAGAGGTATAATATGTACCTGGGCATGTATATTCATAATTAATACGAAAATTTAGAAAAAGTCTATAACACCACTGGCAAAGCCTCAGTAAACTATGAAGTTTAAGAGGTTATTATTTTTCAGTGTGGATTCACCCTCCATAACAGATGCACCATTTTGGTTACTGATGTTGTTAATGGGGGAAGCTGTGCCTGTGTGGGAACAAGGGGATGTGGGAAATATCTGCACCATTTTATTGTGAACCAACAATGTTCTAAAAATGATATCTTAATACAAATTCTAAGAAAATAACCAAAAGCTACAAATGTGGACTCTGCAGATGATGAGTGGCATTTTAGCAAATTTAGGTAAGCCAAGGTGCCTGATGCTTACAAATATAAAGTTTATTTTCTAAACAGGAATCAAAAGACACAATTTTCATTTCAAAATTTAAAAATGGACAATTTTTATCCTTCTCTGAAGATTGTGAAATCCTGCAATGTAGAGAATAACATAAAATTAATACCCATACATGTGATATTAATTAATATTAGTTATTAGTTAATATTTTGGTGACTACAAGCAATGTATTTGGACTAATTATATCTAAATCTAAATATTTCCAATACAAGTTTTCATTGGAACCATTTAAGTAATTATGTTTATAGAGTCATTATCATATTTTTTTTTACTCCTATGATCATTTCCTTTAAGGCATCCAATATAATAGTTCTCAAAAAAACTTACAGTTTGGAAGAGAAAGCTGAGCCTGTTGGCCACACCTGTGAATTATTATAGGTGCTCTGGGCAAGGTCAATCCATGAGAAAACATGAAAAGAGCTCAAAAACTTCTATGAGAAAACAGAAGTGAGAACAACTCGTCAGAAAATCAATAAAACTGTAGAAGACTGTAAGGACACTATGAGCCACTAGACATAGCTAACATATATAGAATTTCATAATTAGGTATATGAACATATGAATCTCTGAGCAATCATGTTGTACTTCTAGAAAACAGAGTTCAATGGTGAAATAAAAGAAAATTTCTTAGAAAATTCCTTATACTGAATGATAATTTGAAAATATATAAAACAATTTCTATTAGAAGTAAAGCAGGGCTTAGAGAAAAGACATAGCTTGTCACATATCACTGATTTGTAATGACCTGGTTCTTTCTTTTCACTCAATCTTAAAAATCATGATATATTTAGTATCCTTGATATATGGTAAAAACGTTTATTTTTTTAAAAGCATGTGATCTGAATTTTTGAGAAATTTCCATACTGTTTTCCATAGAACTTGACCAGTCTATATTTACACCAAAAGTGAATCAATTTACCACATGATGCAGCAATTCTACTCCTAGATATGTACTCAAAGGATACAAAACATGAATTTGAAGGGATGAATTCATTCCTGTGTTCATCATAGCACTGTTTATAATAATCAAGTTCTGAAAACAACCTAATTGCCCCAAAACAGATGAGTGGAGTAGAAAGTGAAATATATATATATACAATGTCCTAAAAATGATATCTTAATATAAAATTCTAAGAAAATAACCAAAAGCTATAATAAAAGATAAACTATTGCCATTCACAACATAAATGGGGGGATTATACTAAGCAAAGTAAGTCAGGAGGAGAAAAGAAGAAAATAAATGGTTTCTTGCTTTTAAAAGTAAAAGCAAGAAAAAAATTTAAAAGATAAGGATAAAAAGAAAATACACATGCAAGTATCTGGAAAACACAGGATAACATTGAAAAGTTACTAATATAAAATGCAATAAAATAATTGTAAAACAGACCGAGTTTAAAGTATGGGATTGGCTTAAAATAGTGTAACCTGATAATAGAACAGAAAGTGTGCAAGTATATGCACACATATAAGACAGGCAGATTTCAACAAAGATGCAGAGTCATTAAGTGAAGAAAGTAAAGTCTTTCCAATCAATGCTGTGGAAATAGCTGGCTTTCAGTTGGAAAAATGAAAAATAAATGATGATAATTTTATCCATACATCATGCTACATGTAAAAATAAGCTCAATAGTCTGTACAGCAAAATGTAAACATCAAGAATATATATTATGAAAAAATGACACGCCCTTGGCTTAGATAGAGATTTTTTAGATACAACACCAAAAAAAGGATCTGTAAAAGAACACCTTGATGATGTGTGTAGTTAATCAAAATAATATATTTATGCTCTTTCAAAGGAAAAGAAAAATCACAAGAGTTGGAGAAAATATTTGCAAATGATAGATCTAAAAAAATAAAAAACTTGCTTCCAGGACATATAGAGAACTCAAAATGCAAAATTAATGCATTAATAGATTCTTGTCATTAAAAATTACAATATTAAAGCAAAAATGTTGTCACAGTCAAAAAAATGCTCCTATTGCTCACAAGATAAAAGGAGAACATATTTATATTATAACAACAACTTCTAGGCAGGAAAATACAGACTCTATGCAAGACAGAGGGCAAAAATATGAACAGCACTTTACAGAATAATTCAATACTGAATAGACCAGAAAGGTGAGTTTAGTTTAACAGTAATGAGGAAAATGCCTAATAATGTCATAATGATACTGTTAAATAAGCATCAGAGATGATATTAAAATTCCTGAAAGTACAAAGTTGTGGATCAAGGGACCATTAAGTAAAATATATACTTTCACAAAAATTTTTTTAAAAACTTGGGATAATTTAATAAATAACAAACACTCATATTTACAACCCAGCAAAATCATTTAATGTAATAAATTAACATACACACATATTTATGAACCAGCAAAATCTTTTGGTGTATTTGATGCAGCATAAAATATTCATATATAGATACAATGATAACATTATTATATTTACAGATTATTGTAGTATAATAGTTATAGCATAGTGTCAAAATATAATGTATTATATACTACATATTTATACATGATAGGCACATTATTACAAATGCAATATAATATGTAGGAAAAGGTCATACAGGAAGATTTTCATAACATAATTATTCATAATATCCACAAATTAAATTACTGAGTAGGTTGGAACAAAAGTGTCATATTAGTATATTATAGCAAGTTACAGAGAAATGCAAAATTATGGATGAACTGCATATATCAAATGAACATGAAAAGAAACACATAAAATTCATTTTTCCATTTATGTAATGCTCAAAATTAAACAAGGATAATTCATAAGATAGCAAAGTGGTTAGTGAACAGAGAGAAGTGAATACAGTGCATTCAGAGGGGACTGCTGGGGTTGGGAACTTCTATTTAATTTGTCATTACCTGGGTTTATTTCACTTAATAAATCTGCAAAACTATCATATATTTAGTTTCCTTGATGTGTGGTAAAATTGAATAGCAAAGCTTATTTGAAACAGCATCTATAGAAACTTGGTTTTCTATGAAAAACTAGAATTGAAAATTATTAAATGTGCATTCACAGCATAAAATAGAAAAAAAAACATATGAAGTCAAATCAGCAGAATTATCAACAGGATTTAAAATAAAACTACATATATCCACACAAGTATGGATGCAATCAATAAGTATAATCTTGACAAAAATAATCATTTAATAAAATATTTGAAACATTTAAAATCTTACCATTTCTTCCTGATTTTCTGTGTAGAGCAGATGAGAGTTGTTGGAAGCACAGGCCATTATGCTGTCATTCCAGGTTTTTTTTTCATTACTGATGTGATAGCAGTTGTTGGAAATTGTTAACCACTGCTTTGGACATGCACCGCCACAATGGTGTGCTGTGGAAAGATTATGGATTATTATCAAAACGCAAGTTGAATTTTTAATAAAAATCATTTTAAAATTTGCATGGGTGTAGGCATATGTGTATATTATAACATGGTTATGCATCCTCACCGCTGGTACATATGAAAAAGACACACTCACACAGATTCAGAGAAAAGTCAACTCCTCTCTCCTAAGGTATGGCCTTACACAAAGCAAACACATAAGCAAAACTATCTACTTTCTACATATTTTGAATATCTAGTGAACAAAATACTGTTGTGGGATAGAAAAAATTATCTCACTTGTAGCAACAGGACATTGGGACTGATTGACAACAATGAGTAAGGTGATTTTTAAATGACTATTACTCTTTATTATTGCATAACATGTGAACATTCTAATAATCATTACTCATTACCTAAATTTTAATTCTTTTTTTTTTTTCATTTATGCTTTATTTACGGTAGAGACAAAAATACAATCTGTATTAATATCTGAACTTTGAAAATCACTGCATACCTTTTGGGGTCATTGTTGTTGAGGATGAATTGTTCAGCTCTTGTGGTTCAGTAGCTGGACAAAAAACTAACAAAGTAATCATTATAAATATTAAAGCTGTCTAAGGAAATTATCATAGTTTTTAAATTTTTTTTAGTTTGAAATTTGACTTAAATTAGAATTAGCTGCAGTGAAATTGATTTCACCAAGAAAGCAATAAGGTATTGAACATTTGGAAAAAGGTACTTCAGAAGCCAACAAGGTGAAACTATATTATCTCTTTTGTACTTGGCTTAACAAAGCCCCAGAATTAATTTGTATTTATTTATAAGGTATTTCAGTATCCTGAAACATGTTTTGAATTACAAAATTTCAATATCTGCAAAATGTTCTCTATGCTCATTGTTATTTATGCTATTGACAAATTCTGAATAAACTTTCTACATTAGGTTTAAATAAACATATTAAAATGAGAGTTCTGTTCTTTACTATCATGAAATCTGTAGAACGACTGATGATCATTAAGTGAAATGTTTTCTTATAATCTTTCCAAAATTTACTTACAGGCTTTACTAATGATCATTGCTAAAATACTGAATATCAAGACAAGGCAAATAATTCCCAGCATCCCAACAATGAGCTTCTCCCATGGTGATGGTAAGCCTGCAAGGACAGAAATGGAAACACTGAGAAAGGAAAGATGAAGACAGTTGCTCAGACAGTTTACAGACAAGAGAATACACATCCAGAAGGAATCGCATATATAAACATGGATGCCAGACCTGTGCCTCCCATTGTAATCTTCCGTTGCATTTACAGTATATGTATTGACCATGAGTAGTTACTCAATGACAACAATGCCTGGATAAAATTAGTTTTTATACTTCACATGAGAATCTTGAATTCCAACTTCAAATTCTGATCTTCACAAATGCAAGATAGGTGAGCTTGTTCCCTATGCATACCCACACCTCTGCTCCCCATTTTCCATCCCAGAGCAGTTATACTTTGTGTTTATTAAGCAGTTTACCTTTGCAGTGGCATGTCTTGTTCCCCTGAAGATCCTGAGAAGCATTTTGAAAGTCAAATTCTGCATAAGTTATTTCTTGCTGGGTTACCGAAATGGAGCTTTCAGTGCCCAAAGGTGTCAATTGCTGTCTTACTGAGTTCTTTGCACGTTTCACTTCTGCATAGATTACACCTTGGTTATTCATCTTTGCAGCTTGAGTAGAGAATACATTGTATTTGGTGAGAAGATGCTTAGTGTAGTCAATGTGGGTGGAGTGTGGGCTGAGTACTCCTATAGCATTCAAACATTATGAGACTGTTTTTAATTTCCTCACAGCTTTAAACATGAGTTTTGTGACAGAATAAGTAGTTTTTTAAGACGATATTCTATGGTTGACATAATATTTTTGATTGGAGAATTATGAGTCAAAAATCTAGTTTTTGTCTACAAATAAATAAGTTGATGAATAATAATACCCTTAATAACATAAAGACATTTTCCCAAGAATTATTTCAACAGCTTTAGGATAACTGTGTTAAGATATAAATGTCAGAATTGGGGGGGGGGAGATTACACACTAATTTCTGTGACAAATTTTATATTAATTCATATCTAAAGATTGAATTTCCAAAATTCAAGGAATAGCAATTAGTATATATATAGCACTTTCCTGTGCTAAATTACCATTATTTAGTGACTTAAGATTATTTGTTAGAAGTAGATGAGGTGTTAGCAAATGATATTTTATCTGCAATTATTGTGAAGTTCTAAGAAATCATTAAAAAATTAAGGAAATATTTTGTATGTTGAAAATATTATATAAAACACTGTCCTTACTCAAATTGTAAATAATTTGAGACCAAGGCACAAAAAGTCTTAATAGTTATTTTAAACAGTTATTTAAACTGACAATTGTTTTAATAGCTAAGTTACAAAAGCACACAATGATGAGGATCACTTATGCAACAGCACTATTGGTTCAGCCTTCCAGAAAGATCCTATAACTGTCAGTAAGTGAAGGTCTCCTCAAATCACATAATATAATTTAATAATTTAGTCAATATGCTTTCTATCTAGTGGAATCTGGAACTGATTCTGGTTTTTAAGTTTATAAAGTATGATCTTTCAAAAGTCACTCAGTTATCATCAATTTAAGTTGCTGTTCTATAATGGGAATAAAAATATGTAGATATAGTACCTGCAAAACACCAAATGTTCAATCTGTCTTTTATAAGCTCTCAATAATATGTCAGTTTTACCACTTCTTTTATCATTTGTTTGTACTAATTAGAGGATGTAACATAATTTATTAGATAAAAGTCTTTCATACATAAGTCTTCCTGCAATGTTTTTTTCAATATTTTTCAAAATCTTTATACCTATAATTGATTTAAAATTGGCATTTATGGAATCTGCCTCAGCTTGATTTTTACAGCTCTCAAACTGTTTCTATTATAGCTAAGCATATGAGGAATAAGTTTGACCTTGACAATTAGATGAATTCACTTTAAGTATCTATTATGAAAAACTGAATTAAATACAAAAAAATGTAGAATTATACTTATATTAAGATTTCCAAAGTAAATTGTCCTTATCAGACTTTAATTCACCCAGCATACTTTAAATTTTATTGATTTGTAAACCTGAATATTCATGTGTGCTTGTACTTGATGTATTCTCCACTAGCAAGAATGTGAATATTTTAAGAAATCATTTTACATACTTCACATTTATTGTCTGTTATTTGACTGTATCTTAATTGTACTTCTGTTTTAGAATATCTGACTTTTGCAATCTTCCACTAAATACAATGTGTTAGGGGAGGCACAGGAGAGTGGCCAAACAGAGCTTCTCTTGACCAGAAAGCAGAGCATCCTCCAGTGGGATCCAGGTCACTCTTATAAGCAAATAATATCTCTGGTGTTCACACACTGCCCTGTAAAAGTGCAAAGTGAAGCAAGACAGAAAAAAGAGACTTTCTGTTACAGTGTCACAGTGGAGGATTATGGGTGCTTTGGTGGTGCAGGTGGTGTGGTCTCAAACATCTAAAGAGGTGTCAATCTGTACTCCTAAATCATATGCAGTGTTGTAAACCAATGTTACTTCAAAAAAATGATATATATGTATTTTTAAGTAAAGTGTGAATGGGAAATATTCACCCCAGGGCTTATTTGAAGACAACCTATCCCATCAAAAGTCTTCAGAAGAGACTTTAAGCTAATAGTATGTCAATTAGCTTGTTTATTTTCAAAAGCCTCAAACAAATTGTTGTTTTTTTTTATAATAAATTTTATTTTTATATTCCCCATACAATTGCAACCCCCCATTCTGACCCCAATCCTCCCCTCCCGCCCCCACCCCCAAAAAGTGTCTCTGGTTCATAGTTTTTTGTTGATTTTGATTTTCACTTTCTTATAGTTATTCATTTTCCTGGTCCCTTATTTAAGTTTTCTAGATTCCTGCTATGAGTGAGACCATCCGGTATTTTTCTTTTTCTTTTTGGCTTATTTCGCTGAGCATGATCCCTTCCAGCGCCATCCATGTTGCTGCAAATTGCATGTGTTTATCTTTTTTGAATGCTGAGTAATATTCCATGGTATATATGTATTGGTTTTTTTAATTCTAAAAGATATTGTGGACAAAAGGCTTGATTATCCATGCAGTTAGCTTAGTCTCTTTCAATCACAAACACTGAAAATGTAGGTCTAAAGAGTATCTTAGATTTTTAAATTCTACTTTTAGGCAAGTTTGATAAATTTTAAATGGCATCCTTCTTTCCCTTATGTCCTTATGTCATGATTATGATGCTGAAAAATTTCTGTCATAATCCCATTAACAGTAAACATTTAATGATATTTGTCACTATTTTAAAAATGCTGAAATTTCAACAATATTGTAACTGTCACAAACACCACCAATTCCCAAGCTTTCCAAGTTCTCTGCCCTAGATTTTCATTTTTCTGCATTCAGTTTTAAAGAAATTATCACAATGAACACTCATAATTTTTACTTGATTTAAAAGGAAAATGTAGCAGCACAAACCAGCCGTATGAAAGACCAATTGCCCTAAGTGCAATATTACCCCAAATATAAGGGCACTTAGGTTGTTTCAATAGTTTAACTATTGTGGCTAGTGCAGAGTTGGATATGGGAGTGCAAGTTTCCCTTCAAATTAGTGTTTTTGTGTTCGTTAGGAAGTTATGTAGGAATGGAGTTGGTGGATCATATGGTAGATACATTTTTAATCATTTTATAATCCTCCATATTGTCTTTTACAGGGGATGGATCCATCTACATTTCCACCAACCAACTAGAAGTGTCCTTTTTCTCCACACCATCTCCAACACTTGTTATTTCTAGTCTTTTTGCTACGGGCCATTCTCACAGGTGTGAGTTGATTTCTCATTGTGGTTTTGACTTGTGTTTCCTTAATTTTTTATATGCTTATTGGAGATCTGTAGTTCTTCTTTGGAGAATTGCCTATTCAGTTCTTCTACCCATTGTTTGAGTGGATTCTTTACTTTCTTCTTATTGAGTGGGCCTTTGTATATCTTAGATACCAGCCTCTTGTGAAATGTATGATATATGGATGTCCTCTCCCATTCAATTAGGTATTTAAAAAAAAAAAGATTTATTTGCTTTGCATGCAATAGTTGGGGTGCTGGCCAGAGATGCAGGGGTTGAGAGGATTCACCCTCAGACAGAGTAAGGAGCAGAACAGGAAGATGTACCAAAACACACTGCTGAGGGGAACAGTGGGCAAGACAGTAGAGGTCTGCTGCACCTTATGGTTCTCCTCCCTGCCCAGGGATTGAACTAATGCTGCAGTGGCTCGGATAGCTTCATAGTGCTGTGTCTTTGCCCCTTAAGCCACCAGGGAGGCCCTGTATCTTTTGTTTGGGGAAGGATTTCTTTTTCTGTGTAGGAGCTTTTTAAGTTGATGTAGTCCCAGATGTTTGTTTTCTTTTGTTTTCCTACTGATGTCGATGATTTGTGAACACATTGCTGAAGCTTATGTCATGAGGTGTTTTACCTGTATTCTGCCATGTATCTTATGCTTTCGGGTCTTCAATCCAAGTATTTTATCCACATAGAGTTGACTGTTGAGTGTCATGTGAGATAGTGATGCAGTTTCATTCTCTGCATGCAGCTCTATGTGCTGCTTTCCTCTGACCCATATGTAGGAAACAAATTTTGAGATTCCTTTCAAAATTTCTTTAATTCCAAAAAAAGATAGCCATTACTTCTGTCCAAAATAGCACACTGGGAGAAGAGACTGGAAATCATGATCAATAAAACAAGAACAGTAATTGCAACTTTATTTCCATAATGGGAATCATATCTAGTAAAAAAAATGATTCTTATGCAAGTGCTATGTAAGTTCATAGTATGTAATACTTTTGTCAAAAGTCTGCGGTAAAATGCAAGTATCATTGACATGTAAGATTGAGTTCATTAAATCAGAAATATTTTTCAATAACTGACTAATATAGTTTATTGAAACAATGGAGATTTGATAGGTAAAGGTGGAAGAAAAAGGTTTAGAACGGGGTCCTCTAGAAAATCAGGTATTTTTGGCTTTATGAGGAAGCAAAACATTAAGAATTTAAATGGTTGGACTAACTTCTAATGATCTTCAACCATCCTATCATTTATTCCTCAGAGTATCACTGCTCGGGGCTACAGTTTTGTCATTTTGTTACAGATGGAAATTAAACATACATATTAAGTAAAAACTATTGAGATTTATTTAGCACTCATTTCAGAAAATGCTTTTCAAATACTTTTGCAAGAATTTTCAATAATCCTCATTAAGATGATGAGTTAGATACTACTTACCATATTTTATTGGAGAGGAATCTGAGCAGAAAAATTAAGTAGTCAAGTTACAGGGTTAATAGGGTGCAATTAAAAATTACACGGAAGTGACCTGGTTTCACTGTCCATGTCCTTACACCTTATACCAAGCTGCTTACTCCCTATTTGCACAGTGATCGAGGTCCCTGCGAGTGCATCAGTATGACAGTCTTTACCACCACACAAGAAAACCTCACAAGAAATTTTGGCACAGAGGAAACAGCAACCTACAGGAGAATTTCAAAAATAACTATTTTTGTCTCTATTTATCAATATTTCCCTTTTACACGCAAACTTATGTATCTCATGAAATGTGAGAAAATATTCTTATGGCTTGGTATTCTTATGGTAGATTGGATTATTTTTCAGTGAAGCCACATTTCTTCCCTCTAACCACTTTGAGAAGATAACACTTTGAAGACAACTAATGATGGGTTTAACCGTGGGACTTCACCTGACAATATCATGTGAGTGTGAAAGTGACAGCTTATGAGATCTGAACCCAGACATAAAAAGCACATTTCTGCTTGATCCACTGACAGCTGCTAATCTTTGCTGTGAGAATGTCATGTACCAGGTAACTCACTCCTCAGAGAACAAAAACATACATAAAAAAGATCTGAGCGGAATCTGTTATGTACCAAGTCCGTATATGACCAGCCAACATAACCAACATAGGTGAATGCAAATAAATATTTCTTTTTAAATCAATGAAATCCTGGGTTGTTTATATTTAGTTACAATTTATATATTACATGAGATTATTTACAAATATGCATGCATTATCTCTTTATGTATATAAGTATTATATTTAGAGTATATAAAGTAGGTCAATATTCAAAGAGAAACTTGTGTATAAATAATTCATCTTGCAAATAAAATTCCAGTATATAATTTCTCCCTCTTATCATTAGATTATGGTAGAAACATCTGTGAATCAGTTTCTATTACTAAAGTTTTGCTAAAAATATCAATAACTATTTGACACATGCAATTATTTTTCACTTTTATTTTTTATATTACTTTACATTTTATTTCCTTCATCAATGTATTTTTCCAACAGTACTGATAAGCAAGAACAGAAAGGGGAGATATAACATTTATAAAAGATGATCTCTACCAAAATATCTGAATTCTGATTGAGGGGAAAAATAGACATGTAAGAAAATACTAAAAGACAGCGATTGTTACCAAATTAAATACAAATTCCTAGCAAATATTAATCTAACCCCTGAAAATGCTGCTATACAATATATATATATGTGGCATATCTATTTATCCATCTATCCAAAGATTGATGGATAAATGGATAGATAGATAGATAGATAGATAGATAGATAGATAGATAATCTCCATTCTATTCTCCAGGGATGTGGGATAAATCCAAATGGTAGAGTGACTTTGTGATTGTTGCATAGAAACCTTGAATCAATTAGCAATATATTACTCTCCAAATCAAGACTTCTCTACCTTGTTTTGCCATAATGGAGTTAGATCCTATGAACTTTCCCCCCGTGTCAGCACACATGATGTTAACTTTCACTGTAAAAAGCATGGGGAGATGTTGCAGGGAAGGGGCTCTTCTTCAAGGCATCCTGGTGTTTCCTCTCCATGGGCTGACAAGGTGCAGCTGTCAGGGGCATATGCAGGAATCCTGTGGTGCTCCCCTGCCAGCAAGCTTGTGTCCTCTGTCCCAATGACAGTCCTGCCCTCCAGCCTCTGCCTGCTGACTCTCTCTCAGGGAGTCTCCTTCTCGCGAGTTCCAGGGGAGGTCCAAGCTCAGTAATGTGCGCCCGCAACTGCAGAACTGCTCTTTTCCAGGATCAACCAGTGAGCGCTCCATGAAGTCATCTGCAGCCACATCCTCTTCAGTGAAGCCTGAAAGTCTTCCTCAGAGAGAGCTGGGACCCAAGTGGTTCTTCTTTTGGGTACTCTAAGGTGCAGTTTGTAATTTTCTTTTATACCCTTTTGGAAGTTAGTCCCTACTTGTAGCTATTCTTTATATCAAACTTTCCCTGGTTTCTGTCTTCTCACTCACCTTGAACACATCCATCTCCCTCCCTTGGGTTGTTAGATCCTGATTACTAACAACTTCAAAAGCTAGAACAAATCAATTAACTTGAAAATAAGATGATATACAATAAGTTATTGATCATGATTTATAATTTAGAGATGATTTATTTTAATAAACAGCAGACATTTTAGAGATGTGTAATATGTACATATTTTATATTTTATATGAATAATGATTTAAAAATAATACTGCAACACCAAGGCTGACACTTCAGGACTTCAGTGATTATTGTAAACCCATGTTGAGTCATCCTCTGTAACAGATGCACCATTTTGGTTAGTGATGTTCTTAATGTGGGGGAATAAGCCCCTAGAGGCACAAGGAGCTATGGGAATTGTCTATGCAGATCCCTTAATCATGTGGTAAACCTAAAACTGCTCTAGAAAGAATCATTAAATAATGAAACACACAGAAATATGTGACTTTTGAAGAAACCAGAAACATGATTTTTAGAGTTAGCGAGAATGGCATACACAAAATTTAGGTAAGCTCATTTACCCGGTGCTTGCATACATATTTTTTTGTTTCTGAACAGTATTCAGTAAAAAGTCGGGTATCTTGAATATTGAAATATGCACAATTCTTGCCCTGCGATTCCTGAGATGCTGATATTGTCAACCTGAAATATAGAACACAATACATAATTGATCTTGGCAACATGTAACATTTTTTGAAGAACCAGCAATATTTTAGAATACTATTACATGCTTAAATCTGAATCTTCCAGTTATTCTTCAATGGAAATAAATATTTGTTCACATATTGATTTTTCTTGCTCAGATGAATTCCTTCAAGTCATAAAATATAAGAGTTCTTAAGAAACTTACAGTTTGGAAGAGAAAACTAAGCCATTTGTCCACACCCAATTATTCCCACTGGTTCTGCGGGAGACTCCAATCCATGGAAATATATAAAAGATTTTCAAAAAATTCTATGAGGAAACAAATGTTATAAGAAGTCAAATGAAAGCTTTTATAATAATCTGAATTTTGTAATAACAAATTGCTATTTCATTCGCATATAATAAAGCTTTTCTTTTTTTTCTTTTTTATTAATTCATGATTTCAGGGCCTCCCTGGTGGCACAAGGGGTTAAGCACCTCACTATGAAGCAATCTTCAGCCTCTGCAGCATGAGTTCAATTCCAGGCCAGGCTGTCAGGAGAGCAAGCACATGGCCCAGCAGACCTCTCCTGACTCACCAGCTACTCCACTCAGCAGTGTACTTCAGTCAAACTGCCTGTTATGTTCCCCACTTGTCTCTGATGAGTCCTCTCACCCCCTGCATCTCTGACCTGTACCCAGCTCTTGTATGCATAAATAAAATAAAATCTTTAAAAAAATATTATGCTTTCAATTGTAATAACATTCCATTACAATATTATACCACGGACATAAGAGAAAAAATAATCACGATGACTTAAGTGAGGAGGACACATTGACAAAAATAACAATTTCAGGGCTGTGAAAATTTATCAAAACCCAATAATACTTTGTGAAGTATTTATCATTGAAAAAGCTGCCAGATTCAATTGATGGAGTGAATGTATAGTCTTGCCTCCGACAGCGCCCATGCCTCTCCGTTCCCAGCTCAATATACAAGGAGAAGTGTACTTTTCACAATTTTGAGAGGGCTGCAAATATTAGTGATGTTATTACCACAGGGACAGACTTGAATAGCAGTGGGAAAGGTTGTTAAATAGTCCACTGCTTTTTCAGCTCAAAGTGCTGGATTTGCTAGATAACCACTAGGGAAAACTTATACTCTTTTGAGTTCAAGGTTGTGATCTCCTTTGTGTGAAGCACCGAGGTATGGAAAACACCAGAAATAAGGTATAATTGAAATGATGACATTAGCTTTCTGCACATTCTTGCCTGATGGAAAATTGTTATTGGTTTTGTGGGATAGTCTAATGCATGCAAAAGTGTTGAAGAAAAACAAAGTCTGTTTAAAAGCAAACATTATGAGAAGTCTTAACATTTTAATAACAAAGTTATTTCATGCTCACTTTATGGAGTCAATATTCATTATAATGTTACTTACTGACACATGAAGAAAATGTATTGACTACATGGACAAGATACATTGACAGCTTCAATTTCACAGCTCTGAAAATTGATCTAAGGTTAGTAATAATTTGTTAAATATTTATGATTGGAAAAACTGCTGGATTTTTCCATAAAAATAGAGAAAATATTACTCACAAATGCTCCCATATCTCTCCCACTCCCCACCCAAGCTCAGTGAGCAAGAGGATTTTAGATTTTACCACTTGGGAAAAGGTGCCATTGTACTTGTTTAGCTGTGTGTGTGTGTGTGTGTGTGTATGGCAGGTTGGGGTTAGGTACCTGATACTAGCTCAACTCAAAGTACTGAATTTGCTATGTAATGGCTAAGGAAAAATCTATGTGTTTTTTAATCTGATGTTGAGCTCTCCTTTGTTTCAAGCATAGTACAAGCATATATACCCTGGAAAGGTACCAGAATGAGGGTACAATAGAAGAGATGACAGGACTTATCTAAAATCTTGGTCGATGGAACTAAAAGATTCTAGTATAAAGGAGAAGAGGATGTGGAGGGGCCCAATGAGCTATGGTGGAGGACAATGGTGCCTTGGTGGTCGGTGTGGTATGGTGACATATATTTGAAGCACTGTGAATCTGTACCTCTGAATCATATGCATGTATCCCTGCAACCTCAATAAAAGAAAATGCTTTAAGTAAAAGTCAAAGGAGATTTGAGAGCTGATTGCAGTTATGAGCTCTTCCCTAGATACAACATACACATATATCACATAGAAGCCTACCAACTCAAAGGGTTTGAATTGGGTCTTTTAAAAAAATTGTCAGGTGACAGAGAGTTAAAACAAGGGCAATTCCTGGAAAGCAAGCTAAAAAGTGAAAACAAGATTGGAAAAAAATGAGCAAAAATATCAGCAATACAGTTTAGAGGAGAAGATTTCACAGTGTAAGTCTACAAAAGACAGAATAATAAATCAAGGAGAAATGAAACAGAACCCATGTTTAGTAGACTATATTATTAAAAATTTCTACATAAAAGAATTAGAAAACATGTCTGAAAATTGGATAATGTCTTCCACTTTTAGGGGAATAATTATTCAATAAAATCCAATTTTTTAGGACAAGATATTAGATTTACTAGAAAATATTTTAAACTAATTATTATAAATTTATGTACATTATTGAGAATATTACATTTAAATAATTAAATGAAAATATGATAGCTATGATAAGACAAGAAGGAAATAGCAATAGAAAAACTGAAAATAAATGAACCAGCTGGAAACTTTGAGTTGAAAAATGTAACTGAGACGAAAACTTTGCTAAATTGACTAAGAAAGAATAAATGGCATTGAGAATGGAGTAATAGAAACTTTTCATTCTAAAAGGATGTGTTATAAAAAGAGGGGAAAATTAATAGGGTCTCAGAGATATTTGACACAGTGTGAGGAAAACTAACAAAGGTGTACATATAATCTGAGAAAAAGATGAGGGCCGGAGAGAGGAGTTATCATTCAATGGGTATAGAGTTTCAGTTTTGCAAAGTGAAAAAGTGCTAGAGATTTGTTGCTTAATAATGCAAACATAGTTAACACTTCTACACTGTGCATTTAAAAATGCTTAAGATATATAGTCAAGTATTATAGGAAAGATAGAAGATACTATGATTCCATCTATGTGATGTTCTGGAAATGGAAAAACTGTGGAAACTACAAAATCAGTACTTGGCTGAGTTTATCAGGGAGGGAAGGATTTATAGATAAAGCACAGAAAATTTTATTTAATTTTTAAAAATTTATTTTATTTATGCATACAAGAACTGGTGTCTAGGCTAGAGGTGGGGAGCAGAACAGGCAGATCTACTGATATACACTGCTGAAGGGAGCAGAAGGTGAGACAGGATAGGTCTGCTGAGCCATGTGGGTTAGCTCCCTGGCCAGGGATGTAACTCATGCCACAGTGGCTGGTGACAGTTTGATAGTGCTGAGACCTTTACCACTGTGAAACTAGGAAGGCCCTGAATTTTAGTTTCAGTATTCTGCAAAATTCTGTAATAATAAATACATGCCATTATACATTTGCTTAAACTTACAAAATATACAGCACCAAGCATGCATCTTAACATAAACTATGGGTCCTATGTGAAAGGAGATACTATGGCTAAAAATTTTCCATCCAAGGAGCCTCTATATCCCTGAGGGCATGAGGTCTCCATCCCTGAGGGCATGTCTCCACCAGAGACATCTCATAGAATGGCTGTTAAAATGTTACATTCACATATTTCAGCAGTGAAAATTAACTGACTATAGGTAAGTGTGATTATGTGGATAAATGACAAAATGTCACAAGAGAGTAAAAAGACAAGAACAAAAATGCATATTTTATGATTTCATAGAAAGATAAAAAAGTACATAAAATGATAAAATATATACATTTAAAAACTAAGCAAAATGATCTATAACATAAAAGATCAAGACATTAACTAAAAAAGAGGCAGCAGTGAGGAGAGAAGACACAGGAGCAGGGCTGCTGGGGGCTGGAAATGTCTGACCATCACGTAATTTAGAGACACAGGTTCTACTGACACATGGTCAGTCTGTATGATCCTCACATGTTTAATTGCCTGATGCATGGTGAAATTAAATAGCAAAAAATATTTTAGAAAAAAAATCTTTATAGAAACATGGTTTTCCATGAAAAGCAAGAACTGAAAATTATTGTAGGTGGCTTCATGGCTTAAATATGTAAAATATTGTACAAAAATATGGTCTATAAATATGATATTGATTGAAATATGAATTAAGTGTTTGAAACATTCAAATTCTTACCATTTCTTCCTGATTGTCTATGTAGAGCAGGTGAGAGTTATTAGCAGCACAGGCCATCAAGCTCTCATTCCAGGTTTTTTTCTCAGGACTGATGTAATAGCAGCTGTTAGAGTATGTTAACCACTCCTTTGCACAAGGGCCACAGTGATGGCCTGAAAAAGATTATGAATTATTACCCAATGCAATTTGAGTTTCCAAACACAAAAATAAATTTACTTGTGTGCATTGGTATAAACATACTTTTAAGTATATAACATGCACCTCACAGGCTGGTGCCTATGTTCATAACACACTCAAATGGAAGGGCCAACTTCTTATCCCCCATTTGTTAGCCCATATACACAGCAAACACAGGAAAACATCCACTCTACATGTCCTGAAAGTCAGTGAAGGAGACTTCCTATTTAGAATAATAATGCCATTTATCTCTAATCATACAGTAGCAGTAGGAAATTTCAACTAACTTAAATAAGTATAGTAATTCTAATAATTCTTCACATTGTTGTGTAAGAAGATAGACTCTCCTATAATCATTATTTATGGGCATTTATTACCTGGTTTCAAATTTTATGTTACCCCCAAGAAATCTATTATATTTTTGTCTAGCCTAAGACATACATTTGTGTGTATGTGTGTGTATACATATGTACATATATATTTACACAAATATATAAATTTATAAAATGTAATTATATCAGAATTTTGAAAATGGTTATGCACCTGTTTGGTTTCTTGTTATTGAGGATGAATAATTCAGTTCCACTGTTTCAGTAGCTAGAGAAAAATTAGAAAAAAAATTAGGAAAAGTATTATTGCTTAATAAAGATCAGATAGACTTCATTTCTTAATTTAAAATTAGGTGTATTGTTTAGCATTAGAATCTGGAATAAATTGATTTTACCAAAATTAATTAAGTAATGAAGATGTAAAGAAAAAAATCTCAAAAACCTAAATTTGTTCCTATTTGTAGGAACAAATAACATAACCTAAAATATTAGATTTATCACATTTCAATAATTAATTTGTATTTCTCAGTTAGGAATTTTAGTCTCCTAAAGCTAAATCATGCCTTTGAAATATGAAAACAGAATATAAATATATAGATATAATACACTATGATCATTCTGTTATGTGTAATTTTAATAAAAATATAAATATACTTTGTAATGAAATTATTACTTTCATATAATAATTTTCATTTATTGAAAGAAAAAATATAAATAAATATGCATTCTGTGTATATAATATTAATGACAATTTTTGAAAATACAACCAAATATAGCCTAAAGGCAAGTAATAATCTCAGTTGTTTTCTGTAATATTAAGAACTCTTTGAGACAATTAGAATCTTCATAGTTAAAAATTTCTTTTTTTTGTCAAAATGTTTCTTACGGAGAATCAGGACTATGGTCTTCACTATAGTGGACACCAAGACCAGGCAGACGATCCCCAGGACCTCAGCAGCAATCTGCCCTGGAGGTAATGGTGAGGCTGCAGGGAGAGAAATGGAAACACCTAGAAAAGGTGGAGACAAATGTTGACAGTTTACAGACACGAGAAGCCGCCTGAACAAGGAGTCACACATAGAAACCTGGATCCTGACCCATTTCTCCGGTTGTAACCCTGCCCCCGAATATCCCATTGCTGCTGGTGACATAACACTGCGTGTTTTGTTGGTCAAAGACTACAACTACCAACAATGCGGGAATAAATTTACTCTTCACATTTCATATTACAGTGACAAAAAAAATAAGGACAAAAAGATAAAGGAAAACTATGTGAGCTTATTCCCTAGTCCTTCCCCCAGGCCGCACCCGGATCTTGCATCCAGAGCAGCCACACCGCTGTCTACTGAATGTTTTCCCTTTGCACGGGGAGTGCCTGTCATTCCCTCCAAGAGCCTGAGAAGCATTTTGCTTTAATCCTACAGAGGTTTTTTGCTATTCTGTTACTGACAAGGAGCTTTCAGTGCTCTTACCTCTCATTTGCTGTCCTTTTGGGTCCAGATTCAGCTCTGGGGAGTTCTCTCTCTGGCTGTTCATGTCTGCAGCTGAGGAGCATCACGGACGTGCTCTCTGATACCTGCAGGTGAGTCGTTAATACATGGTGCCTGTGCTGACCAGATCCACAGGGTAGTCAGTGTGGGTGGAGCGTGAGTTGACTGATGTATTCAAGTGCATTTGAACAATGGATGGTCTGATTATAATCTCCTTGGAACTTAAAAATATCTGTTGTCTGATAGAATAGCTTTTAAAATGATGTTTTGTGGTCGGAGAAATCAAGAGCACATACTAATGAAACAAGTTTCATAAATAATATTTTCCTTACTCTTTTAAAGTCAGCATCCACAAAAATATTTTGAAACAGAATAATTGTGTTAAAGTGCTATATTATATAGAAAAAAAATGATGCACCAGTATGTATGATCACTCTTTCTGTTGAAGATTGAATATGCTACAGTGGAGAATGTCATGTTAGCATATCTATTAATTTTCTGCAGTAAATAGCTTTCATTTGGTGAATTACATTTATATTTAAACGAGGATGAGGGATTACCAAATAATATTTTCTCAAAAATATAGAGTTCTGATAATCATTAAATTTTAAGGAATGCTTTATATATGAAAATTGATCAAAGATTTTTAAATGACACTATTTTATACAAGATATTGGCAAATATCTAAATGGCTAAGATAAAAAAAATAATCAAATAAATCTCATTTAGGGGACAATACTGTTGATTCAAACTTCCAGAAGGATCCTATGAGTGTCCAAATCAGTGAAAGCTGTTTTAGGGGAGGAAACTATTGTGATATGTTAAATAATATAATTTAATATCTTAGTCAATCACTCCGCAGTGAGTGGATCTGGAATTAATTCTTACTTTGAAAGCTAGAAAATGTGGTCATAAAAAAAGTTAGCTATTGTTTACAAGCTTAGTTTACTTATCTAAATGGGAATACTAATATGTATTTTTATATATATTGCATATAAAATATTCAATCCGGATATTATAAGCTCTCATAATATTTCAATTAGTCTATTATTTTACACATTTGCCATTATTATTTTTGCCATACAATAGTTTGGCCATATACCGTAATTCATTAAACAGGAGTCTGTAGATCATTTTTGGCAACGTTTAATTCTTTTTTTTTAACTTTTGATGGCTAAGAACTAAGAATTTTATGGATACTTCTTAATCTTGATTTTTATTAAAAAAATTAAGTGTATGAGGAATTTCATTAGACTTCGTAATTAGATGAATTCATTTTAAGAATCTGTTTTAAAACCGAGCAAAACATTAAATAATATATAGATTTATAGTTAACTGATCACAAAATCCAAAATAAACTGTTCCTTGTCAAGATGCTTATGGGTTTTCAGGTTAAATTGTATTGATTAAAAAGCCTAATTATGCCTGTACTTATGTAGACTAATTATTCACAGTCTAAATTTAAATTTTTAAGAACACATATTTCATATGAATTATTCAATAGAGAAAACAATGTTCTCTATAATATGATTGCATATGAGTTGTTGCATCATATGCGACATTTATAAAAATGAGAGGATGGTAAAGAGGAGAAGAGGGCACATACCTTCTGTTGGCCAAAGAGTGGAGAATCCTATAGTGGGGCATCTGGTCACTCATGGAAACAAACAAACAATATCTTTAGTTTACACAGACTCTCCTGTGAAGGTTCAGAGAGAAGCAAGAGTGGCAAAAGTACATTTCTTATCAGTGTCAAAATTTGAACAGGAAATTCTAGCACTTGTCTAGACAGTGAAGACAGTTTATCTCATTACATCTCCAGAACAGAGGAGACTTTTGAGTTTGCAATGTGTCTTTTAGTTTGTTCATTGGGAAATGCCTCTGAGAAAAACCTAAAAGTAGTTTCCTACTTTTTAAATTATTTTTTTTTTTGATTGGGGTAGCACTGAGGTATCCCCATAGGTTATTACCACCATAGTGCATCCACCACCATCCAGCTCATAGTCACCACCACAGATCTTCTGCCACCCTCTGTCCCATTTCTTTCCCACTCTCTTCTCAGCCTCCCCCCACTTGGTGTCTCAGTTTTATAGTCAGATATCACAGGTTAATTTCTCAACTTTCTTTATCTATTAATTTAGTTACTTTGCATTAACTCATGTCATTTATAATATGGATGGGGCGTGAAAGGATAATGTGAAATAAAATGTTTTCCTATTTTATTTTTTTAAAGATTTATTTATTTTTATACAAGAGCTGGGGTACAGGCCAGAGGCGTGGGAGGGTGAGAGGATTCACCAGAGGCACAGCAGGGAGCAGAACAGGCAGACCACAGAAATACACTGCTGAGGCGCGACAGGAGAGGTCTGCTGTGCCATGTGGGATTCTCGCCAGCCGGCCAGGATGGAACCACTGCAGAGACTGTGGACAGCTTCACAGTGTTGTGCTCAACACGCTGCGCCACCAGGGAGGCCATTTTTTCCTATTATAAAAGATATCAGGGAACCAGACTGACGACACTGCTGTGAAATTGCTTCCATCTCAATCACAATAAACTGAAAGTGTAGGTCTTATGTATCATATGTTCTGCTTTAAGAGAAGGTTGCTGAATCTTGGGATTAAATAACTTTTCCTTATGTTCTCATTTTCAATTCTAATTTAATGACATATTTTTCAAATCACCAGCCATTAGCAATATGCATTAAATGATATATGCCACTAATTATTCTGAAAAATTACTACATCTGCAACTGTTTTTTTATGTCTCATAATCACCAGTTCCCAAACTTTTCTTCTCTATTATTCTGTACTCAATATTCTTATCTGTAAACAGTTGTTTAGATTTTTCCTGGTAAGAGTAAATGTCTCTTAGAAGGATAAATATTCAATAGCATTGAATTTTATCATCATTGCAGAAATTGAAATATTGAATAACTACTCATTATGTTATGCATTGTTTCATCCTCCAATCTTAATAAGCTGTATTTTAATAGAGCATTTGTTGTAAATTACAAAAGCCTAAATCTAACTACACAAAAGTGAAAGAGTAATATTTAAAAATAAATAAATAAAAAGTAGGACAAAGTAAACTTTTATTTATTTTTTAATTTATTTACTTTTCCTGAAGTACCATTGTTTCACACATTGCAGTATTTTTAAAATACAAGATTTTCCCCCAAGTCACAATACCACTTCCACCACTCAAGCACCTATAGTCCTTCGCCAAAGTCCACTGTGCTCTCCCTTCAACCTACACTCTCATCCTTTCCCCTCCTCCTCTCATAGCTGTAGATCTATGGCCAGCTTTCAAGGGTTATGTTTTGTCTTTTTTGAGCCTTTGTTTTTTTCTATATTCCACATATAAGTAGAATCAGTATTAACATGATGAGGTACATATACAAAATGGAATATTACTCAATGATCAAAAATAATAAACTCAGGTCATTGGCAGCTACAGGGATTATGTTAAATGAAATAAGCCAGAAAGAGAAAGATAAAGTAAGTTTTTAAAACAAGAATTAAATGGCACAAGAACATCAAAAGAAACAAAACATTGATTTTGCTAAGCTTGTTTCAAATAGAATTATTATTTTCATCATTTTGTTCTTGAATCAAAAGAAGAGAATATATGTATCTATCATTCTCAAGAGAATTACTTCTAAGACACTATGGAGGAGATTGAGCTAATACAAAGTCAAATTTTTAGTTTTATAAAGTCTTAAAATTGGAAACAAACTTTGTAGTTATATCCTTCCATTTGGACTAATATTTGAGTTTCCCATTACAATGGCAAAATTGGCTAGCTTTATACATATTTATTTTTTCATAAACTAAATTAAGAATTTTCTATTAGCCACAATAAGAATTATATCAATTAAGTTATTTGTTAAGGATGCCAAATGATGTCACATTGACCAATGTTGATTTTTTTAAAAATTGAAGTGTGTATGTTTACTATTTCTACTTTGATGTTTTCAATTAGGTATGTCCTATACACATATCATTTTTGCTACATGTAAAACTATGTGTTAATTTTGTGGAATTTTAACTTTAATGAACTCTGTACTCAGACAATATGAATTCATCATAAAAATTGCTTAAAACAATGGGTAGTTTGTTGCATACTTTTATTTTTCTAATAATGGCTATCTAAAGATATAAGAGAGACAGATACTCTGGTGCTTAATAACAAATGAAAATATTCTTTCCAGGGCCTCCCCGGTGGCACAGCGGTTGAGCGCTGGGTTGCCAAGCTGCTGGTTGCCTCTTCAGTGCCGGTTTGATCCCGGCTGCCGGACGAGGGTCCCACATGGCGCGCAGACCTCTCCTGCCGCCCCCTGCTCCCCTCAGCAGTTTATTCCATCACTCTGCCTCTTCTACTCTCTGCTCTGGCTCTGGTGAATTCTCTCACCCTCCAGCACGTCTGACTGTACCCACTGCTTGTATAAATAAATAAATAAATAAATCTTTAAAGAAAAAAAAAAAAGAAAATATTCTTTCCATATGATGGTTAAGTGCATTTGTTTTCACAGATTTTTTTAATGGAGTCATTAGTTACTAACTCTAGAGAAAATATTTAATGTTCCTTTAAAGGTGATGCATTTATTCTAGAGGAAAATGTGGACATGGAGGACAAAACAGACAAAGAAAATTAATTATGTGTAAAATCCAAATGTATATTAATTCAGTAACATAGTAGTGATATGATTTTAAATTTTTAAATGTATTTATTTTGAAATTCCAGAATGCAAATATGGCATAACAATAAAAAAAGGGCAACAAAGTCATTTTATTCCATGCAATGCTTTACCAATTCTTCAAAATTTAATTTAATGAGTAAAGAATGTAGGTAATAAAAATTGAGGATTCTGATACAAACTATTTAAATCATATCAATTAATTAATTAATTAATTTTAAAGATTTATTTATTTATTTATTTATACAAGCACTGGGTACAGTCAGAAGCATGGGAGGGTGAGAGGGTTCACCAGAGCCAGAGTGGGGAACAGAACAGGCAGACCGACGAAATACACTGCTGAGGGGCGCAGCGGGTGCGGCAGGAGAGGTCTGTGTGCCATGTGGGACCCTCGCCCGTCGGCCAGGTATTGAACCGCTGCTGCAGAGGCTGCGGGCAGCTTCGCAACCCAGTGCTTAACCACTGCACCACCAGGGGAGGCCCTAAATCATATTAATTTAACAGGTATTATGGAAGAATGTACAAATACAAATATTGTGAGATAAAAGAAAAATTGGAGTTCAAAGAAATGGCAGTGTTCTTCTCCAAGTAAATGATAATTATACTATAGTTAAGCAATGTATGTATATATTTACCAATATAATACTTATATTATTTAATTATTATATTAAATATAAATAGATACATTTCAATTGAAATCCAGACTTTTTATATAAAACAGTTGGTTTGCTGAATAATGAATTAATCCTTTACAAAACTGTAAAGCATGATGAAATCAAAATGATGAAAAAACTATACCTTCCAACACAAACCTGTAGAAAGAATCATTGGTGGAAATAATATGAAGGTTTGAGAATACAAAATACAGTTTTGAAGACATTAGCAATATTTTTAAATCCATATGTAACTTATAAGTTGAATATAAATTTGAGAAAAATGCAGTGAACAATCATAAATGGATATTTACGCAAAACTCAATGCTTATCAAAAATGCAGATCTCTTAGTAATCCATGGAAAAGTTAAACTAAACAATTTCTACCTATATGCATGCTGTTCACACACTGTAAATTCATATATAAATATAATTTTACAAAAGTGCACTCTATAGTTCAAGCATATTAATATAAAATATGTAGATTTGTGGTGTCTCTCCAAGAGTCATTTATCAACTTTGTCTTGAAAACTTTCAATGTGGACATTCAAATTAAATAAATAAAGATAAAGACAATTTACATATTAATATCTTAGTCACACTAGCCATTTTAAGCCATATTTAGAGACATAAGACATTTCAAGCTTTACAGAAAATTCTCTAACTAGAATTTACCTAAAATAGAAGTCAACAAACATAAATTTGAATTCCTCACATGATTTGAATATAGTAATATCTTTCTTTTTTTTTTCATATGAGCCATAGACATGACCGGATGAATGTTCAAAATCATACAAATTAGAGAGAAATAAATAAGTGAGATTGTCTTCTGAAATATTGTTTGCTTTAAATCATACACTGCTGCAAATAGCAAAGGCAAAAACTGAACATGCATCAAAGAAACTGTAAACGTAAAAGTCAGAATTAGGTGAACGACTTCAAAAGAAGTAGAGGAGAGAAAATAAAGGGCACACACATGAAAAAGAACAAAATTATTGTTAAAGAACATCAAAAAACCAAATATATTTTCACTGTAAAGACTTAGTAAAAGTCATAACAAACCATTGAGAAAACAATTGAGAAGATGTAAGTCCATTATCTATTAATTAAACATGGAGATTTATAAAGTTTTTTACTGATAAATACCAGATAAGAAATCAATATTAACTAATTTCCTATTAAATATTAAGTAGTCTCAAACATAATCCCAGAATTGTTTTTAAACAACTTTATTGAGATGCATTTACAAAACATAAAATTCATCCTTGAAGTGTATAAGACAAAGATATTTAGCAAAGTCAGAATTTGCAAACTTCATTACCCTTAACACTCACAATGCTTTTATCACTTCAAAAAGAAACAGGGAAACAAGAGGTGGTCAGATCCTCCTCCTGCCTCCCCTCAGTCCTGGGCAACCCCCAATCCACTTTCTGTAGCCATGAATTTGCCATTATTTATAAATGGATAACCCAACAATGATCTCTTTGAAGGTTGAATGCCACAATGAAATGCTGAACAAAAATATGTCAGACACAAAAGTAATGATATCTGTACTTTTTCAAAGCAGAGTGTGTTTCAATAAATATTTTGAAAAAAGTTATTAGAATAAAAAATGAAATCAAGGACCTCCCTGGTGGCACAGCCATTTGAAAGCATCGCTGTGAAGCTGTCTGCAGTGCCAGTTTGATCCCCACTGTAATAGGAGCAACCCACATGGCGAGCAGACCTTTCCTGCCTCGCCTGCTGCTTCTCTCAGCAGTTTATTTCAGTGAATCTGCTGTTCTGTTCCCTGCTCTGTCTCCGGTGACTCTTCTTACCCTCCCGCACATCTGTACCTCATCTGTACCTCAGCTCTTGTATAAATTAAAAAAAATAAAGTAAAATAAAATAAATCTTAAAAAAAAACAAAATCAATAAGAACACTTATTTCTTGAAATAGAAAGTTTACAAATAAATCCAAACTTTTTTTTTTGTTTTAATTTAAACCTTACGCTTGCAATAGTACATATATGGATCTTCACAATTATCTGTATAATATTTTGATTGTAGCATAAGACAGTGCTTGTTAGCAGATGATGATTCTCTTATCCTGTAATAAAGAAAAATGCATAATTCTCTTGTTATGTAATGTTGGGGCAAACCAAGAAACAATAGCATGTCTTTTGATTGCAATATAAACATATTTTGCAAATGGATGAACAATTTACATAGAATACTTGTGGGAGTTAGACAAACTGAGCTGTCCTTTCTTCAATATTTATCAAGATTCCACTCAATTCAATACCATTCTTCAAGTCAATAATTTAAATCAAATGCACTAACATCTTTCCTCTTATATTCCTTTTCATACCTTTCTTCTCTTAAGTTCTGTAATGTTGGGGCAAACCAAGAAACAATAGCATTTTTTAGTGCTATTATCACATTATTCAAATAAAACTTACTGTGGTTGGAAATGTGACCCATTTACAAATGTCCATGGCTGATCGCTGCCGTTGCGGTGGACTCCAATCCATGACAAAACTGATATGGATTTCATAAATGTCTATTCAAACATAAAAAAAAAATTCAGTTAGATAGGAATGACAAAAGTCTTCATTTAAAAAAAAAAAACACAAGTAATGTGTTCTATCACAAGATCCTACATTTTCAGAATGAAGAGACAAGATTCCAATCTCACACCAAATACACATGTGTGCTGAGCACTATGGTGCATAATGCCACAAACTCTCACCAGCACATCATCATTACAGAACATGAGCTCCTAAAGTTTTATACTTAGGAATACCACTCTTGTCATGTGAACAATGAAAATTCAGACCTAGGTTTGTGGCATGTCGGCACCAAGCTACAACAGGATGGGGCTCAGGGAGCCATTCCCCCCTGAGGTGAGGGGCCTGTGCAGCAACCGCAGGACAGCCTGATGAGCGCTATGCCTCAGGACATGACAAGTCAGCAGCAGGGAAAGGCTTCACCTCCCACCACTAGGGACACATGAGCAGGGCTGGGAAGGTGGAGATGGGACAACTAAGGGGAACTTATGCCTGAGAATAGAGAACCAAGGAAGTGTCTATCTCTGAGCAGATGACACTCAATCCCGCACCTGACACATTAAACAGAATGGATTTTAAAATGGTAAATCATAAAATTCTGCAGTAAAAATTAGAAAACAGCAGATAAATGCAACATGCAGATGAATTTTTGAGGAATTATAGGGGAGTGAAGAGACAGGAACAAAAGTATCTACCATATAATTGCATTTCAGTTCATAAGCAAGAAAAGAGATCTGTGACATTAAAAGTCAAGTCAGTGGTTAAATAACCAGTCAGCAGGAGTGAGGAGAGAGAGACACGGTGTCTGGGGTGTGCTGGGGGCTGGAATTCTATTCAGGATCTGCTCTGCAAACACAATTTTCATTCACTTGGTGACTGATCTGCCTGATGACAATATGCTCGCCTTTCTTGATGTGTATTAAAAAATCTTTAATATATATATATATATAATATACATATATATATGAAATATGATTCTCTATGAAAGCCAAGAACTGAATTTTTCAAGTGTGCATTAACGGGTCAAAAATTTTAGTAAAATCCTCGAAGTCAGACAATGGACTCATACAAACATTAAAATAAAGTATAAATTTTTATAAAAATATGTATGAAATCTATAAATATAAAATTGACCTAAATAAGTCTTCAATAAAATGGTAGGACTCTGAAATTCTTACCATTTCTTCCTCAGTGTCTATGTAGAGCAGCTGAGACTTGTTACTCTGACAGGCTATCACGCTCTCCTTCCAGGTTTTTTTTTCAGGACTAAAGTAATAGCAGTTGTTGGAGTATGAAAACCACCCCTTGGGACAAGGGCCACAATGACATGCTGAAGTGAGATTATGAATTATTACCTAAAACTATTTGGTTTAATAAAATAAGACATACCATATACACACTGAGATATGAACAATCATGTACATAACACAAGCACACGCCCCGCAGCTGGTGCATACAACACATACTCACAGAGAAAGGGCAGCTTCTCATGGTATAATTTATGTGCCCACAGGAATCAAACTTATGCAAAAAATATCCACATATATGTCCTGACACAGAGTAAATAAAGTCATTTTTTTAATAGTATAATGGTTTGAACATATAATAGCAGTAGGACAGGAGCCAAATGGCCACATGGGTGTGGGGTTCTTAGTGAATTTTTTTCCTGTTGTTGGATATGATGAACCCCTCCTATTATCTTTATTCATGAACATTTATTATTTGATTATATAATGTATGTTCTAACAGAAAATTTGTTACATTTCTTAGTCTAACATATACATATATATATAATATAAACTGTATTAACATCAGAATTTCGGAAATCATTGTGCACCTTTCTGGCTGTTTGTTACTGTGGAGAAATCATTCTTCTCTGGTTCTTCAGTAAGAGCTAGAAAAAATAAAATAATCCTTATAAAATTTAATAGTATTCTAAGTAAATATTAATCAATATAATATTTCTAAGTTAGAAATGTTGCATTTTGGTAGATTTATAGTGATAATATATAATAAAGTTGACTTTCCCTGAAAATTAATAAAAGAATAAAGCTTTGGGGAAAATATCACAAAAATTCAGAGTCAAATTAACCATCTCTTACAGTATGTAGTTACCAAATTTGAAAAATCATTTCAAAGTTTTCAAAGGGTATTTCAATGTCCTAAAGTGTGAATTTGAATCATGATATCAGAATCTACACAAAAATAATTTCTACAATCATTCTGTTTACTTGTACTTTAAGAAGCTGAGATTAACGATTCAACATTCAGTTAAACCAATACATTAGCATAATAGTTCTATTCCTTAATATTATGAAATATTTATTTATTTTTTTATTTTTTTTTTTATAAATTTAGAAACTTTTTTTTTTTTTTATTTGTTTGTTTGTTTGTTCGTTTTGTTTATACATGCACTGGGTACAGTCAGAAGCGCGGGAGGGTGAGAGAATTCACCAGAGCCAGAGCGGGGAGCAGAGCAGGCAGAAAGACCGAAGTACACTGCTGAGGGGAGCAGCGGGTGGCAGGAGAGGTCTGCGCGCCATGTGGGACCCTCCGGTGGCCGGGGAGCAGCCAGGGATCGAACCGGCGCCGCAGAGGTCGCCGGCAGCTTTGCAACCCAGCGCTCAACCGCTGCGCCACCGGGGAGGCCCAATATTATGAAATATTTAAAAGCACTGACAATCATTAAGTAAAAAGTTCCATTATAATCTTTCATAAATTTACCTACGGGAAATAACGCAAATGAACACAATAATGCATAACAAGACAAGGCACTTGAGTCCAAAGATCCCAGCAACGAACTTCTCTGGAGGTGCTGCTAATCCTGCTGGGAGAGAAATGGAGATGCTGAGAAAGGATAAATGGAGAGTTATTTAGTTTACACACAACAAAATCTACACGCACAGGGAGTCACATATATAACTTTGGACTTGATTCCTCTATCTCCCGCTGGAATCTTTCCCCCAGAATATACCATGTTTTTTTTAGTAAAGAAAACACCTTTGAATTGTTGTTTGTCAACAATTATAAATTATAACAGTATCTAGGGAAAAAAATAGCCATCAGATTTCCTACTAGAATACCATATTCCAATGCCAAATTCTGAGCCTCAAATGAAAAACATGTCAGTTTATTCCCTATTCTTTGTGCACCTCCACCCCTCTGCATCTCCCAGAACAGTTGTGCTGTGTGTCTACGAAATGCTTTACCTTTGAGGCGACAGGACTTGCCATTCTCCTGAGGATCCTGAGCAGCATTGTGAGGACTTGATTCTGCGTAGTTTACTCCCTGCTGCTTTCCAGTAGTGGAGATTTTACTCTCTTTAGGTTTCACTTGCCGTTTTTTTGAGACCCTTTCCTGCTTCATCTCTGCATAGGTGACTCTTTGCTCGTTCATCTCTGCTGCTCTGTAAAGTCAGGAACTGTGCTCTGTGATAAATGCTTTTCAGTCTTTAATAAATGGTGCATAGGATCAGATCACTGTGGGCGGAGCGTGAGTTGAACAACAGACTGTGGGTGGAGTGCAGTTGAGCAACACACATGTCTGGTCTAAACACGTCTGGTTAAAACTCCCAGTAGGTCCTATACCTATCCAAGTTAATGAAGGTTGCCTTAGTTCTGCAAAAAATTGCAATCAATAAAAAAATCAAATTTTAGTAATTCAGTCAATAACTCTGTAATGAGTGGGATGTAGAATTAATTCTGACTTTGATACTAAGTATCATGTTTTAATTTCAACTCAATAAAAAATAAAAAGGAAACAAAATAAAAAGTTATATACTCTTTCAAATCATCTTTAGTTTACTAATCTAAAATGGATATAGGAATTTCTAAGAATTATATGTATTAACACATAAATCATGATACTCAATCTGACATTTGTAAATGGTCAATAATAATACATTCTTTATTTTAATTATTATTTTGATACAACTACCATGATTTTCCTGTTTCATAACATTTATACCATGTAACCTAATTCATTAGCAGTAGTTTGTTTTATTAGCATGGTATTTCTTGTACAATACTTTGCTTATTTTTAAGCATTTTGTATACTTTTAAATTCAAAATAGCATGTTATGGAAGTTGTCTCATCTTGATTTCTATCAACATGAAAACCTTTTCTATTGACTCTAAAAATATAGATGAGGAATTACCTTTGAATTTCATGGTGGAATGAGTTAATTTAAAGAGTCTAATTTAAAAGATTGAGCTAGGGGCCTCGCCTGGTGGTTCAGGCGGTTGAGAGCAGCACTGTGAAAGCTTCCACAGCCTCTGCAGCACAGGTTCGACCTGGGCCGGCCAGGGATGATCACACATGGTGTGGTAGACCTCTCCTACCTCGCCCACTGCTCACCTCAGCAATATATTTCAGTCAGTTTGCCTGTTCTGTTCCCTACTCTGTCTCTGGTGAATCCTCTCACCTTCCTGCACATCTGGCCCGTACCCCGGTTCTTGTATACATGAATAAATAAATATTTTTTATAAAAAAATACTATTAAAAAAAGATTGAGATAAATGCAGAAATATATATATATATGATTATATTTGTATTGATTATTAATTCCAAAATAAAATCTTCCTTGTCATGATCTGGTGAAATTTCAAGTTAAATTGTATTGATTTACAAATCTAATTATGCATGGATGTTATATCCTTGACTAATTCTCCACTGGAAAGAATTCAAATATTTTGAGAAATCCTCAAAATATTTCATTTTCTTCTTGTGTTTTACCTGAATTATTCAAAAAATATACCAATGTTCTCTTTGATTTGATTGCATATGAATTGTATAGCAATTGCCTCACATCTAACCTTCATAAACTTCCACTAAAAGAGACAGACCAGCATAGAGAGAGAGGAGAGGAGCAACACATACCTTCTGTTGGCGAGGAAGTTGTGCATCCTTGAGTGAAGGGGAGTCACCTCCATACTGATTTTCACAGGACTGGCCCACAAAGGATTCCTATAGGCAGTGTAAGAGGGTTCCCTCTTTCTTCTCCACATTCTCACCAGCACTGTTGTTTCTGATTGTGATCTGTGATTTGGAACTGCCCTGTGAAGTTTCAGAGTGAAGCAAGAGTAGAAGAAGTAGAATACGTCACTAGCAGTTTGAACAGGAAATTGTTACACTTGGGCTATTTTGAAGACAGTTCACCTTATCACACACCTGCGGACTATAGGAGATGATGGGTTTATACTGTCATTTACTTTTTCCATTTTCAAATGCCTCTGAAATGTATCAGGGAACAAAAGACTTAAACACCCATGCTTGTAATGTGTTTCCATAGCAATCATAAATGCTGAAAACTTAGGTCTTGTTAAGACTACTTAGATGTTTAATTTGTACTATAAAGCAAGATTCATAAATTTTGGCATTATGTCCTTTCCCCCTATGTCCTTATGATATAATTTATATTCAATTGGAAAAATTAATAGTATTATTCCATTACCAATGGGTGTTTAATGATGTTTGTCACTAATTATTCCAAAAAATCACATTTTCAAATTTTCTTTAACTATAACAAAAATCAATACCAACTTATCTCCTCAATATCTCTTCCCTAGTCTGAAAACCCCTGCATTCAATTGTATTCTTTATAAATAATTTATCTAGATTTCCACTGATAAAAAAACACTATTAAACCATATCATCCTTCCAGTGACTGTAATATTACCACCATTCATTCATTTATCCTCCAATCATAATTATGTTTTAATAGGAATATTTGTTGTGAATGATAAAAACCTAAGTGTACTTTTGTAAGGGAATTGCAAAGGTAACTTTCAAAAATCTCACAGAACCAAAAATTGGGGAGAGCAGAAAAAAATAGACTTTCAAAACACAGGTTAAATGTATATGACAAAATGATCATTATCACAGACATGCAAATCAAGACCACAAGGAGATCCCACTTCATACCTGTGAAAGCTCTATCTAAAAGATCAGAAACAACAAGTGCTAGTGAGGATGAAATCTATGGTCAAACAATATAAAGTCTCAAAAATTACTCCAAATAATAAGAGTAGCTATACTTTACTCTTTATGATATATATAGAAATAGTCATACATGGGTATGTGTATGCATACATATATATACAAACACGCCTATGTATGTTTGTATGTATATGCATACATATGTTTGTATATATATGTTTGTATACACATGTTTGTGTGTGTGTATATATATGTATTCATATATAATTTGTGACTGTTTCTAGTTGTGAGAATATCCAGTGACCTAAGAAAGGTTTATGAAGTGGAACTCAGTAAGAAGCAAAGAATACCCTTTTCAGGTTAAGTCTCAGCGCTATCAAACTATCACAGCTATGGCCTGAGTTCCATCCCCAGCCATGGAGCTGACCCACATGGTAGAGCACATCACTCCTTCTCACCCTCTGCTTCCTTCAGCAGTGAGTTTCAGTAGATCCACCTGTTCCATTCCCCACTTTGTCTCAGATAAATCCTCTCACCCTTACTTCTCTAGCCTACACCACAGTTTTTGCATTTATAAATATAAAAACAATTTTTTAAGATTTTATTTTTATTCATTTATGTACTTTTTACTGAACATAATGTATTTCAATAATTATTTTCAAAAAAAGTCAGGTGATATAACTGAAGCATAGGTTTTCAGGAAAAGTCAATATGATTTAGTGAGTATTTATGTGGCCAGAATTTCTTTTCTTTTTTTTTATTTTTAAGGATTATTTATTAATGCATACAAGAGCTGGGGTACAAGCCAGAGATGTGGGATGAGAGGATTCGCCAGAGACAGAGTGGGGAACAGAACAGGCAGACTGACTGAAATACACTGCTGAGGGGAGCAGCGGGCAAGACAGGAGAGGTCTGCTTTGTCCTATGGGTTGGTCTCCAGCCAGCCGGGGATCCAACACATGCTGCAGAGGCTGTGGATTGCTTCATAGTGAGGTGCTTAACCCCTTGCACCACCATGGAGCCCCTAGAATTGCTTTTCTTCCCTTTTTTTAATATTTATTTATTTATTTATACAAGCACTGGGTACAGTCAGAAGCACGGGAGGGTAAGAGAACTCAACAGAGCCAGAGAGGGGAATAGAACAGACAGACTAATGAAATACACTGCTGAGGGGAGCAGAGGGCGGCAGGAGGGTTCTGCATGTCATGTAGGATGCTCGCTGGTGGCTGGGCATTGATCCGGCGCTGCAGAGGCTGTGGGCAGCTTCACAGCCCAGCGCTCAACCACTGTGCCACCAGGGGAGACCTGCTTTTCTTACTTTTTGTTGTGTGAGGAAGATCTGGGTGAGGCCTAAGTTGGTGGAGAGAGTGAAGTATGAAAGAATTCACCCGAGACAGTTACAAAAAGCTTTTCACAGGCTTCGTAAGTTGGGGGGCCAGTTTTCACCAGTTACCTGCTGAGATGACTGGTGTCTGGCACTGTACTTGGTCACAGAAACATGTCCTGGTCTCTGCTTTCTGCGTTTCTGGAACTGGGCCTGTTTTTCTGGTCATGGTGTCAGTTTCATGGCATTTCTGGGCATGGTGGTTGGTTTTGCAGCCTTGTCCCCAAGGCAGGCTTATCTATCCCCTTAGCTATTCAAGTCTCCCAGACCTGCCTGCTGGGCCACGAGTGGACGTTTAGTTTTTAACTTCACTAAATTATACTCTGATGTTCAAGTGTTTTTCAAATAATTTGCAGATAACTGTAAATTATATTTATGAGATACTATTTTCATCATATTTTTATAAGGAAGGAATGTGAGCCAGAAAAGTCATGGGGTTAATAGGGAGCAGTTAGAGTTACATTCAAGTGATCTGGTTTCATGGTTCATGTCCTAAATTTTTTAAAGTTATTTTTTATATTTATTTTATCATATTGTTGTTCATTTTTGGACAATATTTGCTTTCTCCCTTCAGGTAGAATCCCTGTAGTTCTCCCAGCACCACAAAAAATATGGGCCATCACCATGGTCTCTGTGCTCTTCCCTTCCCAGTTGTGACCCCTCTGTCTCTCCCCACACTGTGTGCCTCTGGTCTATGCCCAGACTTCATACCAAGATGTTTCCTCCCCATTTGTATGGTGATCCAGGTCCCTGGTGAGAGCACCTGTATGTCTGTACCAGCACACACAGAGACCTCATAAGAATTTTTTTTTTTAAGATTTATTATTTTTTTAATACAAGAACTGGGGCACAGGCCAGATGCGCGGGAAGGTGAGAGGGTTCACTGGAGACAGAGTGGGGACCAGAACAGGCAGAAGGACTGAAATACACTGCTGAGGGGAGCAGCGGGCGGCAGGAGAGGTCTGCCGCGCCATGTGGGACCCTCGCTGCCCGGCAGGGATCGAACTGGCTTTGCAGAGGCAGCGGACAGCTTCACAGTACTGCACTTAACTGCCTGCGCCACTAGGGAGGCCCCTCATAAGAATTTTTAAAACAAAGGAAATGATTACCTTGATGGGAAATTAAGGAACTACTATTTTTTTTTTCATTTTTCAGTTTTTTTTTTTCCTTTTACAAATGCATCTTTCTCACAAAATATATTGACAAAACCATTCCTATGGCTATTGTAGTAGATTAGATTATTTTTCAGTGAGTCCACATCCTCCCATCTGAACACCATGAGTAGACCTTGGTGATAGATAATCGATGAGTGTTTAACTATGTGATTTATCTTGACAATATCATGTGAGTGGGAAGGTGACAGCCTGATTTGTGAGTCCAGACAGGCGTAGCACATTTCTGCTTGTCCCTCAGACAGCTGCTACTCTCTGCTGTGAGAAGCTCATGTACCTGGTAGCTCAGTGCTCAGAGAGTAAAATACATTTCAACAAACACAATCTGAGCTGACTCTGTGGTCTGAAGGCAAGCCCATACCTGCCCAGCTTATATTAACTGAAAGAGTCAAACCACAAGTGGGTGAATGAGACATAAACACCTATTTTTAAATGTCAGTGCAATTTTGGGCTGTTTACTACCCAAATTCAACAATTAGCTATAGCTATAGCTTATAAATTATATAAAAAAATCATGATTAATTATGTATTGTCTAGGTACTTTTATAGGGATCTATAGAAAATGCTATATTCAAAGAAATAAAAGTATATCAAATATTAATTTATGTTGCAAATGGTAATCAGCTATGTTATCTCTTCTGGTTGTAATAGAATTATGACAGAAATATTTCTGCACATTGTCAAATTATGAAATTTTCCCAATGACTAGCAGTGTGGCCATGTAAATGTTCTTAGCTATTTAAATATTTTTGAAATTAATGTTTTTGTTTCCCATAAAAGTGTTTTTCTAAGCATGGTAATTAAACATGGTAGAGAGGGTGAGAGATAATTTAATGAAACAAAGTAACTTTTAAAATACCTGAATTTCAACAGGGGATAAAAAGACAATTGAAAAACCAAAAAGGAATTGATTATTTATTGTCATTGAAAGACTGTTTCCACAGCAGTTCTAAGTTCTTTTCAGGATAGTTCTATTTGATTCATATTAATAGCTTCTCTCCTGATAATTTTCTGTTTCTCATGCATTTTGTCTGATTATAGTACCCCAAATTCTCTTTCTTCCTCTCTCCATCTTTTTCTTTATGGACGTCTATTCTCAGCCATCATCAGTGTGGTAGATTTGGCACATTGGTCCACTCAACTCCTATTCAAAAAAATGAAACTCTGTAAGAGATGCGAACACTACCTGTGAAATTGCCTATCACTACCTAATGTGAATCTGATCATGATAATATTTCACTTGGACGGATTCAGAAGATATATATTGGTTCCATTTGTTACAGGGCAGGGAACCCCCAAATTTGGCTGCTTTAAATAGGTTCTGCCATCCACTGCATAATGACAATATATACTCTAAAGGATAAAACATTCAATACAAAAGAACTTTAAGACAACTTGATTGCAATAAAGAGAAGAGAAAGAACATAGTTTTCAAATCAAGCACCCAAAGTTACCCATTCCCTTGAAGGTAAGTGCCCACCCAACAAGGTGGCACAAAGCAGGACTGCTGAGACCCAGTAGCCTGCCATAATCTGCCCCTAGGGTGGGCACAGGAAAGGAGCAGAAGGGGCCATACAAGTCTGGATGGAAAAGAACAAAGTCAAAATCAAACTAAGGCTGCCATTGTTAGGCGCCCCATGGTCTCTCACCCACATCTGTACAAGTATACACATCCTTCTGAGTCGTCCAAGTCCCTGGTACAAATCCAAGTCCAAGCTTTTTCACATGTCTCTCTGCTCCTTGTGCCTCCTCTAGGGCTTCTTGCTCTCGCCTCCCTTGTCCCAGTCTTCTGTTCAGTTTCTCCTCCCTGCCCAGCTCTTCCCTTCTTAAGGTGGGGCAGGGAACCTGGAACCTCTCCTTTCCCTGGGTATTACCCTGTTACACATTCTCCAAGGGAGTGGGCAAAAACAGAGTTTCTTTTTCTTTTCTTTTTTTTTTTATTTTTTTTAAGATTTATTTATTTATGCATACAAGTACCTGGGTACAGGGCAGAGGTATGGGGGATGAGAGGATTCACCAGAGAAGAATGGGGAACAGAACAGGCAGATTAATTGAAACACACTGCTGAGGGGAGCAGCTGGCAAGTCAGGAGACATCTGCTGCACCATGTTGGTGGCTCCCTGGCCGGGGATCGAACTCGTGTTGCAGTGGTTGGCAATAGCTTCACAGGTTGCATCTTAACCTTTTGTGCCATCAGGGAAGCCCAGAGAACCAGAAGTTTCTTATAGAGCAATTTTGTGGTTGTGGCATGATAACCTGAGTACCAATTCATAAATTATTACTCTCAACTCCAAATCTGTTTTTCATTGTTTTGTTCTGAGATAACGGAGCTAGATACTTTAAATCTTTCTCCCTTGTCAGCACACATGATGTTAGGTTTGGCTGTAATGAACACTGGGGAGACATTGCAGAGAAGGGGCTCTTAATCCTGGCTTCCCCGGGGTGGCTTCACTGGCTGAGATGCAGCTGTCAGGGACCAAATGGAGGATGTGCTGGTGCTCACTTTTGGCCAGCTTTCTTGGTTACTCTGTCACAGCTTTCTTTTTTTTTTTTAATTTTTTGATAACATTTTTCCTTTTTTGCACGATATATGCATTTTCATCTTGGTTATAGTCCCCATGAAATTCCTACTCCCCTTGTTTTGATCTTACTCCCTTATCCCCACCTTCCACAGTAGTGAATGATATATTTATGTATGCCTGGAAGAAATAAGCTCTAGACCAGAGATGTGGAGGTTGAGAGGATTCACCAGAGAGAGTGGGGAGCAGAAAAGGAGGATTGACCAAAATACACTGCTGAGGGAAGCAGTGGCTAAGATAGGAGAGGTCTGCTGCGCCATGCGTGTGTGTTGCTCCTTACTGGGGGATTGAACTCTTGCTGCAGTGGCTGGCAATAGCTTGATAGAGCTGTGTTTAACCCCTGTGCTACCAAGGAGGCCCTGTCACATTTTCTTGCCCTCCAGCCTCTTCCAGCAGATACACTGGCAAGGAGTTTTCCTGCTCCACAGACCAGCCTGCGACCTGTCCTTGCAAAAAATCATTTTGTTACCTCAAGCTTTCCTGATTTGTGTCTTCTGACGTTTCTGTGACTAAACACTTTGCTAACGTGTGTTGTGGAATCTTCATTATAAACAACTTCAAGGGTTAGAACAAATCAAGTAATGAGAAAATAGGAGTGGGTTTTTTCACCTTTGAGTGAATTTCAACAGGTGATAAAAAGACAGGGGAAATAACACTTCTTGACATTAGGATTTATCATTTATGCATGGTTTATTTCAATAAACACCAAAAAGAAGTGTAATATGTACCTGGGAGTATATCTTCATAATTAATATAAAGATTTAGAATAAAGTCTATAACTCCAAGGGCAAAATTTCAGTAAACTATGAAGTTTAGGTGGTACTATGTTTCAGTGTGGACTCACGCTCCATAATAAATGAACGATTTTGGTTACTGATGTTATTAATGGGGGAGGCTGTGCCTGTGTGGAAAACGGGCCTGTGGGAAATATCTGCACCATTTTATTGTGAACCGACCATGTTCTAAAAATGATATCTTCATATAAAATTCTAAGAAAATAACCAAAAGCTACAAATGTGGACTCTGCAGATGATGAGTGGCGTTTTACCAAATTTAGGTAAGCCAAGGGGCCTGATGCTTACAGATATAACGTTTTTTTTCTAAACAGGACTCAAAAGACATACTTTTCTTTTCAAAATCTAAAAATGGACAATCTTTATCCTTCTCTGAAGATAGTGAAATTCTGCAAGGTAAAGAATAACATAAAATTAATATCCATACATGTAATATTAATTAATAATAGTTATTAGCTAATGTTTTGGTAAAAACATTAAGTGTATTTGGACTAATGATTATATCTAAACCTGAATATTTTCAATATGTTTTCATTGGAACAATTAAAGTAATTATGTTTATACAGTCATTAACATTTTGCTTTTTGCATCTATGATTATTCCCTTTAGGCATCCAAGATAACAGTTCTCAAAACACTTACAATTTGGAAGAGAAAGCTAAGCCTGTTGGCCACACTTGTGACCCATTATAGGTTCTCTGGGTAAGGTCAATCCATAAGTAAACCCGAAAGGAGCTCAAAAGCATCTATGAGAAAACATAAAATGAGAACAACTCCTCAGAAAAATCAATAAACCTGTGGAAGACTGGAAAGACACTATGAGCCGCTAAACATAATGGACATTTATAGAATTACATAATTAGGTATATGAAACTTAAGAATCTTTAAGCAATCATGTTGTACTTCTAGTAAACAGAGTTCAAAGGTGAAATAAAGGCAAAATGTCTTAGAACATACCTTATTCTGATTGATAGTAAGTTGAAAATACATAAAACGATTTCTGTTAGAATTAAAGCAGGGCTTAGAGAAAGGCATAGCTTTGTCCCATAGCACTGATTTGTAATGACCTGGTTCTTTTCACTTAATCTTAAAAATTATGATATATTTAGTTTCCTTGGTGTATGGTAAAATGTTTATTCAAAAAAAGACGTGATCTGAATTTTTGAGAAATTTCCATACTGGGTTCCATAGAGCTCGACCAGTCTACATTTGCACCAAAAGTGAATCAATTTACCATATGATGCAGCAATTCTACACCTAGATATGTACTCAAAGAATACAAAGCATTAATTTGAAATGATGCATTCACTCCTGTGTTCATCACAGCACTGTTTATAATAATCAAGTCCTCAAAACAACCTAATTGCACCAAAATGAATGAGTGGCACAGGAAGTGAAATATGTGTACACTGTCCTAAAAATGATATCTTACTGTAAAATTCTAAGAAAATAACCAAAAGCTACAATAAAAGACTCTTGTCATTCAGAACATGATTGGGAGGGTGGAATTATACAAGCAAAGTACGACAGGAGGAGAAAGGAAGAAAATAAATGATTTAACTTAAAATAAAAAGCAAGAAAAATTCTAAAAGGTAGGGCTAAAAAGGAAATAGCCATGCAAATATCTGGAACACACAGGGTAACGCTGAAAAGTTACTAATATAAAATAATATAAACTTATTGTAAAATACACCATGTTTAAAGTATGGGATTGACTTAAAATAGAATAGTGCACAAGTATATGCACAAGTACATGACATGCAAGTTTCAACAAAGATGCAGATTCATTAAATGAAAAGGCAAAGTCTTTCCAATCAATGCTGTGGAAATAGCTGGCTTTCAGTGGAAAAATGACAAATAAATCATCATAATTTTATCCATACTTTATACTATATGGAAAAAAAGCTCAATAGTTTGTACAGCAAACTGTAAACTTCAAGAATATATATTATAAAAAAATGCCATGCTGTTGGCTTAGACAGAGATTTTTTAGATACAAAACCAAAAATAAATGAGTCATGAATGAACACACTGATGATGTGTGTAGTTAATCATAATAAAATATCTGCTCTTTCCAAGGAAAAGAAAAATCACAAGAGTTGGAGAAAATATTTGCAAATGATAGATATTAAAAAAAAAAAAAGAGAGAGAGAGACTTGCTTCCAGGACATTAAAGAACTCAAAATGCAAAATTAATACATTAATAGATTCTGGTCATTAAAGAATTACAATATTAAAGCAAAAATGTTAAGTCACTGTCAAAAAATGCTTCTTATAGCTCACAAGATAAAAAGAGACCATGTATATAATATAACAAGAGCTCTAGGCAGGAAAATACAGACACCATGTAGGAGAGAAGGGCGAACAGCACTTCATCGAATAATTTAGCACTGAATAGAGCACAAAAGTACATTCATTTTAATAGTAATCAGGACAATGGCAAATAATGTCATAATGATACTGTTCAATAAGCATCAGACATAATATTAATATTCCTGAAAGTACAAAGCTGTGGCACAAGGAGTAATTAAGCAAAATGTATACTTTCACAATTTTTTTTTAAACCTGGGATAATTTAATAAATTAAGAAATACCCATACCCAGGGCCTCCCGGAGGGGAGTTAAGGGGTTAAGCACCACAATATGAAGCAATCCACACACTCTGCAGCAGGAGTTCGATCCCCACCCACATGGTGAGCAGAACTCTCCTGTCTTGCCTGCTGCTCCTCTCAGCAGTGTGTTTCAGTCAATTCACCTGTTCTGCTCCCCACTCTGTCTCTGGTGACTCCTCTCACCCCCCCTTCTCTGTCTTGTACCCCAGCTCTTTAGTGCATAAATAAATGAATCTTAAAAAAAAAAGAAATACCCATACTTATGACCCAGCAAAATCAATTGGTACATTTGATTCACCATAAAATATTTATATATAGATAGCAATTATAATTATATTTATAGATTATTATAGTATAACAGATATAGCATATTATCAAAATATAATGTATTATATACTACATATTTCTACTAACAGGCACAGTGTTGCAAACACAATGTAATATGTAGGAAAGGTCATACAGGAGGATTTTCATAAAGTGATTATTCATAACACCCTAAATTAAATTCCCGAGTAGAAGTGTCATATTAGTATATTATAGCAGTGATAATTAACAAGTTGCCGATAAATACAAAATTATGAATGACCCTCAATTATCAAATGAGTATGAGAAGAAACACATGAAAGGCATTTTTCCATTTAAATAATGCTCAAAATTAAACAAGGATGATTCATAAGATAGCAAAGTGGTTAAGTGAACAGAGAGAAGTGACTAGAGTGCATTCAGGGGGGACTGTGGGGTTGGTAAATTCTATTGTATTTGTAATTACCTGGGTTTATTTCACTTAATAAATCTGCAAAACCATCAGATATTTAATTTCCTTGCTGTGTGTTAAAATTGAACAGCAAAGTTTATTTGAAACAGCATCTATAGAAACTTGGTTTTCTATGAAAAACTAGAATTGAAAATTTTTAAATGTTCATTCATCGCATAAAATAGAAAAGCAATATGAAGTCAAACAACAGATTTATAGGCAGGCTTTAACATAAATCTATATATATCCACACAAGTTTGGATGCAATCAGTAAGTATAATCTTGACTAAAAAAATCTTTTAATAGATTATTTGAAACATTTAAAATCTTACCATTTCTTCCTGATTTTTTGTGTAGAGCAGATGAGAGTTGTTAGAAGCACATGCTGTTATGCTGTGATTCCAGGTTTTTTCTTCATTACTGATATAGTAGCAGTTGTTGAAAATTGTTAACCACTCCTTTGGACAAGCACCACAATGATATGCTGTGGAGAGATTATGAATTATTATCAAAATACAATTTGAATGTTTAATAAAAATCACTTTAAAATTTGCATGGGTTTAGACATACACATGTATATTTTAATATAGTTATGCATTCTCACAGCTGACACATATGAAAGAAACACACTGATACTGACTCAGAGAAAATTCAACACCTCTTTCCTCAGGTATGGACTGATACAAAGCAAACACACAAGCAAAACTATCTACTTTATACATGTTTTGAATATCTAGTAAACAAAATACTGTTTTGGAATAGAAATATTATTTATCTAACTTATAGCAGTGAGACATTGGAACTAACTGACAATGAGTTAGGTGATTTTAAATGATTGTTTTTCTATTATTGCATAACATGAACAATTTAATAATCTTTACTTATTTATTACTCAAATTTGTAATTCATTTTTTTTCTACATTTATGGCTTATCTAAGGTAGAGAGAAAATACAAACTGTATTAATATCAGAACTTTGAAAATCACTATATACCTTTTGGGATCATTGTTTCTTGGGATGAATTTTTCAGCTTTCCAGTTTTAGTAACTAGAAAAAAAACAACAACAAAGTAATCCTTATAAATATTAAAACAGTTCTAAGGAAATTATAATACTTTTTTTTTTTAGTTTGAAATTTGACTTAAATTAGAATGAGCTTTAGTACAATTGATTTTACCAAAAAAGCAATAGTGTATTGAACATTTGCATTAAGTTATTTCAGAAGCCAAGAAGGTGAAACTATATTATCTCTGGGTTTATACTTGGGTTAACAAAGCTCCAGAATTAATGTGTATTTCCCAATAAGGTCTTTTAGTACCCTGAAACATGTTCTGAATTAGAAAATTTCAATATGTAAAAAGTGTTCTCAATATTCATTGTTATTTTTACTATTGACAAATTCTAAATAAATTTTCCACATTAGGTCTAAATAAACATTAAAATCAGAGTTTTATTCTTTAATATTATGAAATCTGTAGAGTGTTGATGATCATTAAGTGAAAGGTTTTCTTATAATCTTTCTAAAATTTCTTACAGGCATTACTAATAATTACTGCTACAATACTGAGTATCAAGACAAGGCAAATAATTCCCAGGATCCCAGCTATGAGCTTCTCCCGTGGTGATGGTAAGCCTGCAAGGAGAGAGATGGAAACACTGAGAAAGGAGAGAAGAAGACAGTTGCTCAGACAGTTTACAGACAAGAGAATGCACATCCACAAGGAATCACATATATAAAAGTGGATCCCAGACTTATGCCTCCTATTGTAACCTTTCTCCCAGCATACACCGTTGCATTTACAGTATATGTAATGACCATGAGAAGTTACTCAATGACAGCAATGCCTGGATAAAATTAGTCTTCACATTTCACATTAGAATCTTGAATTTCTACTTCAAATTCTGATTTCACAAATGCATGATAGGTGAGCTTCTTCCTTATGCATACCCCCATTCCTGTGCTCCATTGTCCATCCCAGAGCAGTTATACTGTGTGTCTACCAAACATTTTACCTTTGCAGTGGTATGTATTGTCATTCCCCTGAAGATCCTGAGAAGCATTTTGAAAGTTAAATTCTGCATAAGTTATTTCTTGCTTGGTTATCGAAATGGAGCTTTCAGGTACCAAAGATTTCATTTGCTGGCTTTTTAAATTCTTTGCATGCTTCAGTTCTGCATAGGTTACACCCTGGTTATTCATCTTTGCAGCTTGAGTAAAGAATAAACTGTATTTGGTGAGAAGATGCCTGGTGTAGTCAATATGGGCGGAGTGTGGGCTGAGTACTCCTATTGCATTCAAACACTGTGAAGGCTGTTTTTAATTTCCTCACAGCTTTAAACGTGAGTTTTGTGACAGAATAAGTAGTTTTTAAGATGATATTCTATGTTTGATACATTATTTTTGATTGGAGAAATATAAGTCAAAAATCTAGTTTTTTTTAAAAATAAACAATGCATGTATGGCACTTTCCTTCACTAAATTACCATTATTTAGTGACTTAAAATTATTTGTTAGATGCAGATGAGGTGTTAGCATATATTTTATCTGGAATTATTGTGAAGTTTTAAGAAATCAGTAAAAATTTAAGGAAATCTTTTGTACTTTGAAAAAATTATATAAAACACTGCCCTTACTCAAATTGTAAATAATTTGAGAACAAGGCACAAAAATTCTTATTTAATTTAAAGTCTTATTTAAATTGACAATTGTTTTAATAGCTAAGATAGAAAAGTACACAATGATAGGGATAACTTATGGGATAACAGTATTGGTTCAACCTTCCAGAAAGATCCTAAAACTGTCAGTCAGTGATGGTCTCCTCAGTGGTGTAAACAATTGTATAAAATCACATAATATAATTTAGTAAATATTCTCTCTATCCAGTGGAATCTAGAATTGATCCTGGTTTTGAAATTTACAAAGTATGGTCTTTAAAAGTTGCTCCATTGTCAGCAATTTAAGTTTCAGTTTTACCACTTTTTTATCATTTGTTTATACTAGTTAGAAGATGTAACTTAATTTATTAGATAAAAGTCTTACTGCATGAAAGTCTTATTGCAATTTTTTTTCAATATTTTTGAAATCTTTATATCTATAATTATTTTTATATTGGCATTTTATGGAATCTATCTCAGCTTGATTTTTACAACTGTCAAACTGTTTCTATTATATCTAAGCATATGAGGAATACGTTTACCTTGACAATCAGATGAATTCACTTTAAGTATCTATTATGAAAAACTGAACTAAATATAAAATAACATAGAATTATACCTATATTAAGATTTCCAAAATAAATTGCTCCTTATCAGACTTTAATTCACCCAAAACACTTTAAATTCTATTGATTTGTCAACCCAAATATGCCTGTGTGCTTGTACTTGACCTATTCTCCACTAGCAAGAATTTGAATATTTTCAGAAATCATGTCACATACTTCACATGCTTTATTCTTGTCTTGCCCTGAATTATTCAAATGAAGATTCCAATACTGTCTGTTATTTGATTGTATCTTAATTGCACTTCTGTTGTAGAATATCTGACTTTTGCAATCTTCCACTAAACAAGATGGGTTAGGGGAGGCACAGGAGAGCAGCCACACACAGCTTCTGTTAATCAGAAAGCAGTGCATCCTTCACTGGGATCCAGGACACTCTTGGTCTCTGGTAATATCTCTGGTGTTCATACACTGCCTGTCAAGGACAAAGTGAAGCAAGACAGAAAAAGAGAGACTTTCTGTCACAGTGTCACAGTGGAGGATTGGGTGCTTTGGTGGTGGAGGTGGTGTGGTCTCATACATCTAAAGAGGTGTCAACCTGTACCCCTAAGTCATATGCAGTGTTGCAAACCAATGTTACTTCAAAAAATGACATATATGTATTTTTAAGTAAAGTGTGAATGGGAAATATTTACCCTGGGGCTTATTTGAAGACAGCCTATACCATCAAAAGCCTTCAGAGGAGACTTTGATCTAATAGTATGTCAATTAGTTTGTCTATTTTCAAAAGCCTCAAACAATTGTTGTTGTTGTTGTTTTTCTAAAAGATATTGTGGGACAAAAGGCTTGATTATCCACGCTGTTAACTAAGTCCTTTTCAATCACAAACACTGAAAATGTAGGTCCAAAGAGTATCTTAGATTTTTAAATTCTACTTTTAGGCAAGTTTGATAAGTCTTACATGGCATCCTTCTTACCTTATGTCCTTATGCCATGATTATGATGCTGAAATATTTCTGTCATAATCTCATTAACAATAAACATTTAATGATATTTGTCACTATTTAAAAAAAAAGCTGAAATTTCAAGTATATTGTAATTGTCACAAAGACCACCAATTCCCAAGCTTTTCAATTTCTCTGCCCTACATCTCCATTTTTCTGCCTTCAGTTTAAAAAAAAAAATCATTGCAGTGAACAGTCATAATTTTTATTTTATTTCAAAGGAAAATATAGCAGCACAACCCTAGGGTATGAAATACCAATTGTCATAAATACAATATTACCCCCGATATAAGGGCACTTAGGTTGTGTCCATAGTTTGACTATTGTGGCTAGTGCAGCACTGGATATGGAAATGCAAATTTCCCTTCAAGTTAGTGTTTTTGTGTTTGTCAGGTAGGAGTAAATTTGGTGGATGATATGGTAGCTACATTTTTAATCATTTTACAAACTTTCATACTGTTTTTTATGGGGGATGGATCCATCTACATTCCCACTAACAACAAGTGTTCTTTATCTCCTCTCCAACACTTGTTATTTCTAGTCATTTTTTTGTATGGGCCATTCTCACAGGTGTGAGGTGATTTCTCACTCTGGTTTTGATTTGCATTTCTTCAATTTTTATATGCCAAGAGTAACCAACATTGGTGAATGCAAATAAATGTTTCTTTTGAAATCAATGAAATCCTGGGCCGCTTATAATACAAATTTACTTACAATTTATATATTACATGAAATTATTTACAAATATTCATATATTTTCTCTTTATGTATATAAGTACTATATTTGGAGTATATAAGAAGGTCAATATTCAAGGAGAAAACTGTATATGAATAATTCATTTTGAAAATAATCCAGTATATGATTTATCCCTCTTATCATTAGATTATGATAGAAATATCACTGAATCAGTATCAATTACTAAAGTCTTGCTAACAATATCAATAACTATTTGACACATGCAAATATTTATTATTTTATTTTTTACATTTTATGTCTTCATCAATGTATTTTTTCAATAGTAGTAATGACAATACAACATGTAATATAAGATGATCTCTTCCCAAATATCTGAATTATGATAGGGGGAAAAATAGACATGTAAAAAAATTAGTAAAAGACACTGATTGTTACCCATGAAAATACCAATTTCTAGCAAATATTAACATAACCCTTGAAAATGTGGCTGTATAACAATTTCTAGATATATATAGAGAGAGAGAGAGAGAGAAGGAGACAGAGATTGATAAACAGACAGATGGATAGATAGAAAGATAGATAGATAGATAGATAGATAGATAGATAGATAGATAGATACATTTCCGTTCTATTCTCCAGGGATGTGGAATAAATCCAAACGGTAAGTGACTTTGTGATTGTTGCATAGAAACCTTGAATCAATTAGCAATATATTACTCTCCAAATCAAGATTTCTCTTCCTTGTTTTGCCATAATGGAACAAGATCCTATGAACTTTCCCCCCATGTCAGCACACAAGATGTTAACTTTCACTGTGAAAGGCATGGGGAGATGCTGCAGGGAAGGGGCCTTTGTTCCTGGCGTCCTGGTGTTTCCTCTCCATGGGCTGACAAGGAGCAGTTTCAGGAGCCCATGCAGGAATCCCGCGGTGCTCCCCTGCCAGCAAGCTTGTATCCTCAGTCTCAATCACAGTCCTGCCCTCCAGCCTCCGCCTGCTGATTCTCTTGCAGGGAGTCTCCTTTTCGCTAATTCCAAGGGAGATCTAAGCTCAGTAATGTGAGCCCGCGACTGCAGAACTGCTCTTTTCCAGGATCAACCAATGAACATTCCATCAAGTCATCTGCAGCCATATCCTCTTCAGGGAAGCCTAAAAGTCTTCCTCAGAGAGAGCTGGGACCCAAGTGGTTTTGTTAGGGGAAAAGGATGTCCTAAAGCTAATTCCATACAGGCTTTGTGGACTCCACCCCCACCCCAGGCCAAAGCCAAAGACACTGGGAACTCCACATCCCATCACCACCAAAGGGAAGGTTGCTGGAACCTGAGAGTGGGGTTAATAAGCAGTCAGGTTTGGTATAAAACCAGACAGGTGGGCTTTGGTGGGTGGGTTCCCTTTTTGGCTCTCCGCCAGCTCTCAGAGCTCTGAGAGTGCCTTTGGGTTTCCAGGTCGGCGGATCGATCGGGTAGGACGCATTAAAGACTTTATTTCCCTATTTTCTCCCTGAGTTGTACATTTCCTCAATTCCCTTTCCCTTGTAAATAAACCTTATATTAACCTTTTGTGTGTGCGTGCAGTGGAGTATTAAGTCCCTTTTAAGCACTCAGTTGAGGACCCACAGCCAAGCAACCCGTTTTTTTAAATCGGGCCTGCTCTGTAACAGTTCCTCTTTCGGGTACTCTCCCTTAGCCCTAAGGTGCTCTTTGTAATTTTCTTTTATACCCTTTCCTGAAGCTAGTCCCTACTTGTAGCTACTCTTTATATCAAACATTCCTTGGTTTCTGTCTCCTCACTCACCAGGACACATCCTTCTCCCTCCCTTGGGTTGTTGGATCCTGATTATTAACAACTTCAAAAGCTGGAACAAATCAATTAACTTGAAAATAAGAGTGGGATAATTCCCCTTATTGAACACTTACAATAAGATATTGATCATGATTTGCAATTTAGAGATGATTTATTTTAATGAACAGCAGCTGGTTTGGAGATGTGTAATATGTACCTATTTTATATTTTATATGAGTAGGGATTTAAAAATAATACTGCAACTGCAACACCAAGGTTGATACTTCAGGACTTCAGTGATTATTATAAATCCATGTTGATTCATCCTCTGTAACAGATGCACCATTTTGCTAAGTGATGTTCTTAATGGGGGAAGACATGGCCCTAGAGGCACAAGGAGATATGGGAATTGTCTATGCCATTCCCTTAATCATGTGGTAAACCTAAAACTTCTCTGAAAATAATCATTAGATAATAAAACACAGAAAATATCGTGACTTT